AGAGCTCCAAGAAGTCGTTCCAAGATATTTGGCTTCCCAGTATCAGATTTTTTCAACTTCAAGCTGCATAAATCCCAAAAAAAAAAAAAAAATTTAGCTCCTACATCATTCACATAGATCACTAGAATCAATAAAAGAAAGAGAAGCATACCTCTCCAAAACATGAATCTTCTGTTTACTTATTCTCCCAGAAATAACATGAAAGCAAGGTCTCAACATACTCTCCATGTTTGCTGTTCGTAAAAGTCTCAATTCTCTTCTCACCTGACCAATGAAAAAAGAAACGATTTGCTTAAAATTCAATTCAATCAATACAAGATCGTCTCAAAGTTGTCTATTTTAACACAATCTACCAGAAGAAGAAGAATGTAGATAGATAGATACCTTGAGAAGGTATTTAAAATAAGAGCATCTCCGATGCTGGTTCTTATTCTTGTAGACCATTCTCTCGAACACCGCTTGCTCGAGTTCAAGCTGGCCAAGCTGACTCTTCAGCTTCTCCTCCAGAGCTTTGACTTGTGCATCATCCATGGAGTTTTCTTCAAGCAATTTCAATGGAATTCTGATTCTGGATATGCTCTAAATTCGAACAAGACAGAGATTAAGGTTAGGGTTTAACCCTGCAACTGTAATAAAGCTTCAATTTTGGTTGTGCTCAAACAATTTTTCGGTTTTTTTATGCCGGGTCGGTCGGGTACGGTTTGATTAAAAACAAATCGGTTTTAAATTTGGGGAAACCAACAAATAACTCAAGAACCAACTCTAAATCGAAACAAAGCCGGTTTCTAAACCACAGACATTAGTATCTGCAATTGAAAGCCGGTTTGGATCTTATTGTGTCTTAGAGAATGGGTCATGTATTTGGGCTTTAAGGAGAGTCCAGCCCATCACTAGCCTAGGTCGTTATCTGTTATAACGAGTTAACTCTTCTTCTTTGAAAACAGAGTCAGATAATTTTACTTGTTTCAAGCCAAAAAAAATTAAAAAAAAAACCTAGATCAAATGCACTATTAATTCAGATAATTTTACTTGTTTGATACATTTCTTGTTAATTTGTTATTTCTTTTAAGTTATAATTTAAGATATTAAGATATAAAAAATGATTAGTAGACCTAAAATTCCAAAGAGGATGATAATAAAGGCCACTAGACCATTATCAATTTTTGAAATATGATCTCCATTTCTGCTAGGGCTTTCTTTGCCTTATGGAATGGCCGAATCTGATCATTACAGTGGATTGCAAAGGAAAGAAAAATTGGTGATACTGTTCCGCGGTTGGAAAACTAGCTCGCCAAAACATACATACTTTGTTTAAAGTCCTAAAAATGTTTGTATGTTCTTTGTTTATTGTGACCTATCTATAACCTGATAAACTCGAAACCATAAAATGGATTCAACTGCAAGCAAGAATAGTATTAGTAACATCTACATTATTCCCATTGGAAGGAGGAAAAGTAATTTAATTTTAACTCAAAATGGAAAACCAATCGGGTTGAGAAGAAGGTAGGACCAATTAAGCAATTACGCTTTTGAGGACACATCAAGTGAAAGTTCACATTCTTTTTGGTTACAATAATAATGTTGGTACTAACAAAAGTTACAAGTTAGATATATAGTGGTCTTTTATTTTATTTCTTTAATTATCATAGATTCATAAACTAACTTAGCCGGTTGAGTTGAATCTTGTACACATACATGATACATGTACATTAATTGAGTATATATCTAGAATAATTTTGTATTTTAATCTTGTTTCTGGAATATTTAAATTCTTTAAAAGACTTTTAAAAAAAGGTGCGGAGAGATATTGCGTAAGCACACTAATGTGATGAAAGATATTGCGCAAGCACACTGTTACAAGAGAGAACTTAAAATACATCAGTCGACAAATAGAGAATTGTTATTTTAAATAATCTGTTTGACAGACAAAACTCGAGAATCTTATAATAAATGTTGTTTTGTTTCCAGTTTCCACATAGTTTTAATCATGTAATTTATACTATGTTCATTCTAATTTTAGAGTAATATTATAAAGAAGTTGATATACGAACAAACTTTTTTCAATTGAAACCCCATTTTTGCCTGCAACGTAACTAATACTATATATATCTTAAGAAAAAAAAATTAGCTTAGCTTGCTATTTTGTTTTAGATTTGTTTCTTTGTTAAAAGGAGAAATATTTTTCTTCTCCGATAAATTAAATTGGTAGCATCATCTACGAACTAGAGACTAGATAGATGACATGTGTGTAAAAAATAAATAAAATCAAATGATTTTAAGAGACGGCAAAAAAAGAAAATGATTTCAAGAGAGTACTTGGTTCTTGCTTCTTGAAATAAATAAATTTGGTCAATGATCAAGACATGTAATTCGTGGGGAAGTGGTAATAAAGATTCAACGAGAATGTGGATTATAACGTGGCAAGCAGGCGAAAATAGTCTTCATTTATTTTTAAAACTCTTAATTAATAATTAAATAAACGAAAATGTGATGAAGGTAATAGTGAGGTTAAGGCCAAATAACAAAAAAGCGACGTATATACATGGTTAATATATAATTAATCTATGATTTGTATATATAGTTGGTCCACGATTCTTGAACCTTTTTGAGTCCGGCAGAAAAAATTCTTTAAAAATATTTTTTGGTTAAATAGAATAGTTTGATTTAACACCTATTTGTATATTTGGGTTAAATTAGCAAAGTTTGATGTAATACCTCTTGAATTTTTGGTTTGTTAATGTTAATATCACCCTCCAAGATATATTAAAGTGAAATGAGTGAATTTCGAATTTTATCTTATGCATATAATTACCCATTCTGTGACGCAAAAATATGTGACGTTAGACGATGCGTAAGCATGTTAAGGTGTCGAAAAATTGACCTAGATTAGATTTCGTCATGGTGAAAAGAAGATTGATGATAATGATGTTAATATGTGGTTGTCACTAGCAAATATTCATATCTACTTATCGTGTCGATAGATATCAAAAGAATTGTTTATATCAATAAAAGATATATAAGTAATGTATGAGAGATGCTATAGTAATGTAGAGTATGATGGTTAATATGTGGTATAAGATTATCCGACAAAACTAAATAATAATAGTTCAACAATGATTACCACTTTGTTGCCCGAAGTTTTAGTGATTCATTTTTAACAAATGTGGATTTACTTATCAAAAAGAAAAAAAATCGCTGGTTATAAAAAGTGTTATGATCCAAAAGATATAGAAATTATTATCTCAGGTGTTGATGAAGGACTTTTAACCATTAGCAACTCATCTATATTAAAATTCTCAGATAATGTCGATGTCAATGAGTGAATCTTGTGGATTAATTAGGTCATGGCTTAAAATATGCATCTTTTTATAAATGAAATCAAACATTATTGAAAGTAAACCTTTTTTTTTTTGGTTGAGTTTATGATGATAATATAATATAACCTGAGGAGGATTAGATTTGGCAAACTCACTTAGAAACCAACGAGAAATGTGAAACGTGCACAATCACATTATCCACTAAGTCACAAGAAGGTGGACCACTTTCCCTTCTTTTCTTGTTCTTGCACCTCAAGAAACCAAATTACCTTGTATAATTTTAGTCCTAAGATTATTTTGTTTGTTTATTCAAATGAAAAATACTACAATTATAAATTTTCTTTGTTTTTATTCTCTAAATTTTTAATTTGTAGAAATTATTAGACTTAAAAAAGTTTTAAAACTTTATAAAACTTGAACATAATATTTTCACAGAACACAAACACATCTCTTGTTGTGAATCTTGTGACACGTTTGGTTTCCGAATTGAAAAAGTACATATGTCTAAGATCCATTACTAGTTGGTAAATAATTAAATACAATTTTAAAAAGATATGAAAGACTTTTTAAAAAAACAAAAAGGACAAACGGACCAAAATGTGCCACACCTCCAAGTTCCATGATCTAAATCTTTTTTCTCTACTATATAAATGAGAGCCTATTCTATAACAAAATCATTTGCCAACAAAAGTCTCAACTTAACATACACATCTTCTTCTTTTCTTTTTTTTTTTGCATTCCCCCAAACACTTCAATGGAGAACTCCGTAAACAACTGCGTGAGACAAAGAGTATTCTCCAATCACCAAATCAAAACGATACACGAAGAAGAAGATAAAGAAGAGAGTAGTTGGATAGTCTACTTTGAAGATATTGAACATGATGATGAAATGGTAGAAACTGAAGGAGAAATGACTCATTACTACGATAATGATTCATCGATGATCTCAGACGCTGCATCTCCTGTCCACACAACAAAGATTAATAATGTTGTTCGTCGAAAGGCTAATAACATTAATACAAACCCTAAAAAGAGACGAATCATTCATCAACACAAAGAAGAAGAAGAAGAAGAAGAAGAACTACAAAAAGGAGAGGAAGAAGAAGATGATGAAGACACAGCTTCTTCTCCTTCTAATAAAACAAAGGTTAGACACATATAAATGTATCTTAATTTGTGGAATTGATTTTGATGTTTTTGTTAATTTTTGTTATCTAACATTTTTTTTGGCTTTTTTTTTAGGGTTTTAATGTGTTGGATGGTGCTAATGATAATACAAGATATGGAAAATCCATGGACAATGTTACATCCGAGGTAATAAGAAACCCTTTATATATATAAAAAAAAAAAAAAAAAAGAAAGAAACATTTCTTGCATGAAGATAATATTTTTCATCAAAACTAAATTCGATTTTTGACTAACATCAAGATTTGTTTTGGGGAATTTATAGGAAATTGGATGCATAACAGAAACAGGATCAAAGATAAAAGAAATTATGAATGAAGAATTCTCTGCAGAATTGAAAAAGAGAGGACTTTGTGTAGTTCCTTTATCCATGTTATCTAACCTTATTGCTTGATGATTCTTCTATTTTATTTTTAAGTTTTAACTGTTATTATTATTTTTTATTCTTCTGATTCTTTGATGTAAAATTGTTACTATTATTGATTGACATGTAAAATGTATAGAAAACCAAATTCATTGCAAGTTAAACACTTTGCTTTTGTTTGTCAGACTCGTTGGAATGAATGAAACGCGAGACAGAGCTAAAAGCTTATTACAGTTTTGCTATATACACTACTTACTATGGTCTGCACCTGAAAATACAGAGAGCTTAAGAGATGATAAACAGAGACGAGTTTCGGTTTCTCAGCTTCTCATTTCTTTTCTGGAAGCTTCTCCAGCAACTCGGGTATCACCTCGAAAAGATCTCCAACAAGTCCATAATCAGCTATCTACAATTTCATAGCCAAACGTTTTTTAGCATAGTTTGGTCCTAACATAAATTGGCGGAAAAGAACGGTCTCAAGTGTGGTTGTTACCTGGAAAATTGGTGCATCGGCGTCTTTATTAACTGCAACAATCACCTTAGAATCCTTAATTCCAGCTAAATGTTGAATGGCTCCTGAAACACCAAAAGCCATGTATAGCTCTGGTGCTACTATTTTACCCGTTTGTCCCACCTGACGATACAAACAAACAAACTCTTCAAAGCCGTAAAGTGGAAGGAATAATCAAAAAAAGATCCACAAATATTACCTGAAGATCATTAGGAACATATCCAGCATCAACAGCAGCACGAGTAGCGCCAACTATATAATGAAACAGTTATACACATACATTTCGAAGCACGTTCACTATAGACATAAAAATTTCCCCCACAATGACTGGTGATTAGGACAAGCATGTATAACTAACCTGCTCCACCAAGTTTTTCTGCAAGCTTTTCGATCATTTTAAAATTCTCAACACTCTTCAACGCCCTTCCACCAGTGATCACAACGCGTGCACTTCCAAGATCAGGCCGTTCTGTATCCTGAGTTGAACGTCCCACATATCTAGATTTGCTGACAGAGTCTGCAGTGAAGAATAGCAAAATCAGTTACAAAAAAGCAAAACATGAATACACAAGAGAACACTAAACGGACCTTCTTTGAAGTTTGAGAGATCAATCTGAGAAATAGTAGCTTTCTTTGATTCGGAGTTTTCTGTAATTGGGGTGACAGGAAAAGATGTCGATCTAATAGTCAACATACAAGGACCAGCACCAGTATAACGAACTGTACACAAAGCGTTTCCCGCATATATAGGCCTGACACAGATAAAAAGCTCGATTCAGTTCACAGTTCAACAAGAACAAGAGAGAGTTGGAATGTACCTGATAAACTGGTTAGATCCTAAGATTTTGACAACATCAGTAATAGGAGAAACATCTAAAAGAGCAGCGACACGGGGTAATAAATTCTTGCCAAATGAACTCGAGGAAGCAAGAATGTGAGTGTAATCTCCTTGTTGCCGAACAAAGTCAACCAATTTAGCCCATGGCTCAGCTAAAGGGTACTCAAATTTATCAGAATCAGCAACAAGTACCTAAAAAAAAGTACCAACATCAAGACCACAAACCCAAAAGAAAGCACAAGAAGAAGCCAGAATGTTGTAGTTTACCTCGTAAACAGAAGGATGACAAGAGGCAGCTTGAACAGCAGCTTCTTGAAGAGAAGAACCAGAACCAGCCAATAACAAAGAAATTGAAGAATTCTCACCTAAAGAATTAGCTGCAACTACTGTACTCACTGTCTGAGGTTTGATAGAACCACTCTCATGTTCTGCTAGAACCAGAGTGCTAATCTATATGCAACAACAAACAAATGTACACAACACAACAGTGTTAATAGTGAACAACAAAATGATTATCTCGATATATATAGAAGCTTCACAAATTGACCATCTCCAAACCAAAATTTCCCACTTTGAGTAAAATCAAAAAAGTTTATCTTTTTAATGCCAGGAATGATAAAATCGAAATCACCCACTACAAAGACTGATCTTTTATCACTTCCAATTCATTTTCAATATGAGAAATCGAAAATTACAGCTGAAAATCAAGTTTGGCGACGACGAAAACAAGACAAGAAATTACGGTAATGAATGATCGATTACAGTCAAAACAAAAGATCGAACTGGGGGAAAATGGGTAGGAGATTAAAGATCATACGCATCGAGAGATGGAGATGGAGATAGATCGAGGAGCATTAGAGGCGACGAACTTGTTCTTCGTCAGAGCTCTCAGTAGAACAGTTCTCGTCATCGTTTTCTCTTCTGATTCAGATTTCGGAATTCTCGAAAAAGAAATAAACGAACCATCTCAAACGGCGTCGTTTTTAGCGTAGCAAACGGCGTCGTTTATTATGTTCTTTTGGTCGAATCATAGTACGGCGTCGTTTATAACATTTTTCGAAAACGGCGTCATTTTGTGTACTTCTTTTCTTGATGTGCAGCAACGGCGTCGTTTTAAGAGTATTATTTTGAAGGATTTAATATTGTTTGACCTTGAGGATGGTCAAAGATCAAAGCTGATTACTTCATTTCCATTTGTAGATTAGATACGAGAGATTTCACAAATTCCATATTCTATTTTTTTATAGTACGATGATTCCTGAAAGAGAACAAAAACAAAATCTAAACTTTAAATGATTAAAATTCTTCCTGCCAAAAAAAATCTTGTCATTTTGAGCTTTTTGTGAAGAGTTCCAATAGTTAAGCAAAGTGGGATCACGACGGCTTTAAGAACAGAATCCGACGAGATACTGATAGAGAAAGAGAGCTCATTCTCAAGATCTGCTTTTTTTTTTTTTTGGTTAGAATCCTTTCTTCTTTGTCATAGCCATGGTTTCAACCACCAAGATCAAGTCCGTTGATTTCTACAGGTACAATTACAAACCCTCTTTCGTGTAACAACTTTTAATGACAATTCTCGATAATGGCTTTTGATGCACATGTAAAAGTTTGTACCTTTTTATACATTTTGGACAGTATGTGTTGGATTATGCCTTCTGAGTTCTGAGCATTCGAAATCCTGTCTTCTTGATTATTTATTGGGCGTTGGATTATTTGTTTTCCTTGTCTTGATTTTGGATAATTACTCTGTTGTCTGAGTGTAACTATGTTGTCCTGATTATGACCCTTTTGTTTCTTCAGGAAAATCCCAAGAGATTTGACAGAAGCATCTCTCTCTGGTGCTGGTTTGTCCATTGTAGCTGCCCTTGCTATGTTGTTTTTGTTTGGAATGGTATTAATAATCATCTCTCTGACTTGTTTTCTTCTTCTTCTTGTTGTCTGATCTATTGCTTATTCCTCTGTTTGAATGAAGAATAGCATATGCTTCTGCATTTTGTGAAATGATTTTTGCTGATGGTTTAACTTGCAGGAGCTGAGTAGTTATTTGGCAATCAACACTAGCACATCTGTAATAGTTGACAAAAGCTCTGATGGGGACTTCTTAGACATTGATTTCAACATCAGGTAGATGAAAATCATTTCTTACGGGTTATAATGAACAATGCCAACTTGCTATTTTTTTTTGTGTATTTATGTCTCAATCTTCTGTACAATAATGGCAGTGTCTTGATAATTTGATGTTTGGTTCAACCTATTTTTTGTAGCTTTCCTGCCCTCTCATGTGAATTTGCATCAGTTGACGTGAGCGACGTGTTTGGAACTGTAAGTTTCTGGTTCCAATTCTCAGTATTTCTGTTTCTAAGATCCTATTTTGCACTGCGAGCATACATTGTCCGTTGGCTGTTTTTATAAACTCATTATAAACGCAAAAGGAAAGGAAAAACCAAATGTATGTTATAAGTTCTCATGCTAGGGTGTTTAACTTGGTTGTGCAATGACAATGGTTATGTCATTTCATATGTTTAATTTTTGTTAGCAAAATTCTTCAGCACAGGTTGAATATAACGAAAACGATTAGAAAAGTTCCAATTGATCCGCATTTAAGAGCCACTGCTGCGGAATTTCACTCCAGCTCCGGATTACATCTCATCAACCATGGAGACGAAGATCATGGTGACAATAGTACTTATGCTGATATACCATTAACTGGTGCTGCTTTTGAGAAGTTTACACATCAGTAAGTTGGCAACTTCATCTGTATTGTGTATACCACACTATATATGAGTACCTGTCCAAGTGCTTTTAACGAAATTGGGCTTTCTTTATGCAGTTTTCAAATTTTGGTTGTTAATTTTTATGCGCCATGGTGCTACTGGAGTAATCGCCTGGTAATGTTGTTTTCTGTTTTATAGTAAACTTGTCAATGTTCATGATATTTTTCATTTGGTATGCAATTACTAGATTCTTGGGATGAAACAAGATTCTAGATGTTCTCATCACAACTTAGTTGGCTTCATCGAATGAGAAAGAATCTGCCTTTGTTTCCTTTATGACTCTAATTATAATTAACCAAGCTATTTAGTCTAGCAGATAATATATATTTTTAGTGAATGAATCAAACTGTTGTGAGAGTTTTTGTTGGTCTGATAATTACCTATGTTAGCTCAATAAAATATGTTCATGCTTGGTCTTTTACCGCGTTTTTTTTTGTTTTGTGTGCTAAAATTTTCAGAAACCATCTTGGGAGAAAGCATCTCAAATAACGAGAGAGAGGTGTGTGTGTTTTTTTCTTTCTTTCTATACAGTATGTTATAAAGCCATTTCTGATGATATAACAAGAATCATCGAGTTATGCTTTTCTGATGATTTCTCTTTGGAACATCTGATGTTGCAGATATAATCCTGGAACTGATGATCGTGTTCTTTTAGGAAGTGTTGATTGCACAGAAGAACCTACTCTATGTAAGAGGTATTTACCAATCTTGAGATTTTCCTCCATTTGCTGTTTTATGGTATTCCGATTCATTTTTTTAGTTTGACTTAAGCTTAATTTACCAATCTTCAGCAATCATATACAAGGCTACCCATCTATTCGAATTTTCCGCAGAGGCAGTGATCTTAGGTGAGCAAATGATTCTTCTTGTATTCTACTAGAGCATTTATTCTTGTGAAACTCCATTCCCTTTTTGGTGATCAATTGCTATCTAATCTTATTCAGGGAGGACCATGGGAACCACGAACATGAATCTTACTATGGAGATCGGGACACAGATAGCTTAGTCAAGGTAGAACTGTTCTTGATTAGAATCTACCATTAGGAATATATGATTCAATAGTCACATCCTTACACCTGGTTTTTGTGTAATATTTAATAGGGAACTCTGTGTTTCTTTGAAAAGATTTCATATACAATAATTTGATTATTCCAGATGGTGGAAGAACTGCTCAAACCTATAAAAAAGAAGGATCATAAGTTGGCTTTGGATGGTAAATCTGATAATACGGCTTCAACTATTAAAAAGGCACCAGTAAGTGGTGGTTGTAGAATTGAAGGATATGTTCGTGCAAAGAAGGTAAAATGTCGAACATCCAATTTTATGCGAGGTTCGATTATTTTTTTCTTGCTTCTTTCTCTCTTTTTGTTTCTTATGGTGCCATTTTGTCTTTTATATTGTTTGTTTTCAGGTTCCCGGCGAACTTGTAATCTCAGCTCATTCAGGAGCTCATTCTTTTGATGCTTCTCAAATGAACATGTCGCATATTGTTACCCATCTCTCATTTGGTACAATGGTTTCAGAAAGGTTATGGACTGATATGAAACGATTACTGCCTTATCTTGGCCAAAGCCATGACAGGCTGAATGGAAAATCTTTCATAAATCAACGAAAATTTGATGTCAATGTTACCGTAAGTTCCACAAATTTCATGTGAAGTTCTTTCCTATTCGAGGTTTCTCTTATAATGTGTTGCAATACAGATCGAACACTACTTGCAAATAGTCAAAACAGAGGTCATTTCAAGAAGATCCGGCAAAGAACACTCATTGATTGAGGAATATGAATATACGGCTCATAGCAGCGTAGCTCATAGTTACCATTATCCCGAAGCAAAGTTTCATTTTGAGCTCTCTCCAATGCAGGTATCTCTATGCAGTTTTACACAGATGAGAAGATAATATATCCCACTACTAATTTCTTTGCCAATTCTCCTTTTTCATAATTGATCACAGGTATCTCTATGCAGTTTTACCATTGGTTTTGCTCTGTTTTTTGCAGGTTTTAATAAGCGAGAACCCAAAATCATTCTCGCACTTCATCACAAATGTTTGCGCCATAATAGGAGGTGTTTTTACGGTATAGTATTTGTCTCACAGCCTTGCCTTTTTTTCTTACTTTTCTGGATTCATTGGTGTGAAATTTAAAACTTTTGCTTGTTGGACTTCAGGTCGCGGGAATACTAGATTCGATATTTCAAAACACAGTTAGAATGGTGAAAAAGATCGAACTCGGGAAAAACATTTGATCAGGAATGAGTGAGGTTAGATGTTAGTTTTTCAGTTTTATTAAGAACTCTACAAAACCATAGAAAAAAATAACCTCAGTTTTTTTTACATACCTTGTAGACCCTGTTTATTTTCGAATAGCAGTTTGAAAGAGAGAATAAAGAAACAATTTTCTTTGCAGCATCTTGACTTCCTCTTGATTCTTTGTCTATAATTTAACCCCAATGTTTCGTTATCCTTCATATTTATATATTATAGGTCTTATAGTTATATGAATTGTCTATATCATTTACATTAGCAATTAGCAACAACACACGCACACAAACACCAATTTACCAACTTAGCTGAAAAGAGAAAGAAACAGAGTATCAATGAAAGCAGAATACAAAACAGAGGAAACAAGGCGGAGCTGTGTTTCTGGGAGTCTCTTGTGAAAGCGCTGGGTTATTTCAAATGTTCCTGTGTCGGGTGGAGACGGTGGGATTCTACTGAAGGTTGAAGAAGGTGGTGAAAATTGGCTGCTGCTTCTATCAGCCACTACAATGATGACAAGCTTCTGGTTCTGTTGACAATTGCATATGTTTCACTGATGGGATAGTATGGCCCAGACCGGATAAGCGTGTCCGTCTGTAAATTTAGTGGTGGATGCATCTGTGTTGCAGCTATCATAAGCGTCTCTTGAAGCACTTAGTCGTGGTTTGGTTGGTAGACGAACACTGCATTGTTCATGACCATGTCTCTGTTAGATTTATGTAACGAATCAAGTAGAGTGGTCTATTGGGAACTTTCATTGATTTGGAATTTTCTTTGCTCTGCCAATTGATTGTATAGCTGATGATCTGATTGAATGGTCCACCTACCACAAATTCTCTAGCGCATCGTTCACTTGATACACACGAGAAAACCGAACCCATTAATTACATTTGTTCTGTATAGGTCTCTAACATTTTTGAGAGTTGTATATGTATGTGTTTTGAAAAGAAATGGTGAAACATAATGGGCAAGGGTTTTAAGCAACATTTCTCATATTCTTTTGAGAACAGAAGCAAAGCATAAATGTTTGGAGCTTGCCTCAATGGCTTTTGTTTCTTTACCTTGATCATCCTAATGATTTTGGGTTTACCAAGATTATACATTCAACTAATTTTACAGACATGTTTCATTAGTCTTCACATCGGAACAAGGAATCTTGTGATGTTTACTGTAGGATCTGCAACTAACCCGAAAACAAGGGACGTACAGAGGTTAATACAATGCATATAGCTAGAGCCGCTCCTGAAATATCATACTTCTGTCTTTTATTATATAAATTTCTATATATGTTAAATGATAAAGCACAAAAATATTTTAGCAATTCTTTTAAGTGCTCTATATTTTTTAGATGTGTGTTTGTTTTTCGGATTTAAGAAGATTCAGTTTTTCGCTATCACATTTGAATTAATCTGGATTTGTAAGAAAACCATATTGATTGATGAAAGGTTACAACATATATTCTTGTAAAGAAATGCTTGAAAATACTCTAGCTTACTTTGTAGTCATGTTTATGTAAAGTTTTTAAATAGAAACTTAACATAAATTGGTTAAGACTGACTAAATTTTATGCGACTTTGAAGGTTTCGAGTAAGTTGGATCGGACTAGTGTAATTGTCATGTCAGTTAGATGTCCACGGATCTTCAAATGGTGTTAGAATCATGTATAATTAATCTAAAAGATGTGAGATTTTACTAAAAAAAAATTTTGGATAGAGTCACACTTTCTAAAAACAATAGTTAAATGTGGATTTTAGCGAAAAATCATATTCGTCAAAACCTTAACATCTCTAAATTGATACTTTTTATTTGACTCAAATCCAAAAAAAGATTTTAGAAAAAATTATACTGTGAGTGCCTTCACTAGCTAAATCCTAGTGCACCAGTGGCATATCACAAATAAAATACCTAACAATCTAACATAACTCATTACGATCCATATAATTTTTTTGTAAGCATGTCGACAAGAGAAACAAAACCTAGCTCCAAAATAAATAAAATAGTACTGATTAATTGATTATAACATTTCACTAAAAAGAAAAAGAAAAAAGAAACAATAGTATAATGATTTATTTAATGATACTGATAATGATAAGTGAGTAAGTGAGAGTGATAATAAATAGTGATAGTGATATCAGTGAGAGTGAGAGTGAGTCTTCAAAAATGTTCTTTGGATAAGACAGCTAAAGAGGCCCAAAAGTAGTTAGAGAGACGAATGGGCTTTGTTTTCTTCTTAATATAATATAATGTCGATGATCTCTACTTTATCACGTGTCCATTTATCATTGGTTTAGGTGTTGCCGACACCAACATTCCACAGGCCATTCCATATCTAAATTGGCTAACTTATTTAAAATGTTGGTTTTTAGAGTTTGTCACAAAAATAGTTAATTTTATAATCGGTCAAGTCAATTCAAATTCAATTCAATCCAATTCAATAGATCTCACTAACATGCTACAATATATCGTCGACATTGAGGGTTTTATTTGATGAGTTCTGAGTTTATTATGACATTTATGAACTGTAATTATCGTCAAAACGATAACCGAATCTATTTCAAAAAGTACTGATCAGTCTAATTCTATTAACTGATTCCAAACATAAATTTTCAAATCTAAATTTGGAAAAACTTTGTCCCACACTAATTTTATCAGAAGCGGGTACGCGGACGCGAAGCGTTTGGAAACGTGGAAGCGATTTTTTTTAGAAATTTTAGGAAATAGGTACGTGTTGGAAGCGTATATAGAAATTAATATATATATATATATATATATATATATATATATATATATTACATATATAATAAAATTTTAAGCATTATATAATTTTAAAACATATAAATAACCACACAAATCTAATACATAAATTTAAAATACTTCAACTACAAATAAAAACCAAATAGTTTATTTTTACAATAAATAAAAATAAAATAGTTCAAAGTCAAAAAATACTTATTTTCTTAATTCCATCCAATAAAATGGTTTCAAATTCTGTTTTATTGTTAAGGACATCATCAAATTCAAGTTTTTCGAAGCTTATTTAATTCAATTAATCATTCCAACATTTTCCAAATAAATAATTCATGACGTGGTTATTTTGTTAAGCATGATCTTTTGAAAATAATATGCAAATATTAGTATGCAAAAATTCTAAATTGCAAAATTAGTTTTAGTTTTTTCTTTAATTGTAAAAAAATACTATAGAAAATAATTTCATGTTTCTTATTAATATGTGACTATCAAATTTTTTAAATAGAATCGCAAGCTTCCAAAATGGAATCGTAAGCTTCCAACGAACTTCAAAAGTGGATTTTTGGAAGCGCTATGGAAGCGAGATTCCAAAACCTTCCGAAAGCTTCCGATTCCGATTAAGATTCCGAAGCGGGAAGCGGACCTTCGACGAAACTTCCGTGCTTCCTAGATTTTACCTATCTAACTAAACCTGTGAATCTATCTGTTAAATTTGAAGTGTGAATATATATAAAATTTAAAGAAAAATTAATTAAAAATTTCTCAGCTAAAACAAATTAGGATATGTCAATGGAAAATATGATTTTCAGGAAATATTACAAGTTTTCAATTTAAAATGATCAAGTATATTGTTAGAGTTTACAGTGACTAAATCTGAAGTTCTAAAGTATCTATTTTTTTGTGGGGGGTCAACAATTCTTATGATTACACCTTTTTTTTTTGGCCAACTTCTTGATATTATATCTAAAACAGTTTGTACAATATATATATATATATATATACAGTAAAATGTCACATGTTGGATGTTTTGACGAACTCGATATTTATAATTGTTTCTGATTCCTAAAGTTATATTTTTTGCTCTCCGAAAGTTATTTGATTTTGAATTTTGATTCGTAGTGGCAGCACCGTCCAATCCATCATATATTTCAATACCTGTATGGCGTCTTTGCTAGATAATAAGATAGGAAACTAAAATTGACGCAACAAAAGAAAAAAAAAAGATGGTGATATTTGAAAATCAAAATTGGTAAACAAATGAGTGATTTTTTTTTTTGCAAGTGTGATTCGAACAAATAGTATGATATTATATAAATAACATGTCATCGATAAAAATAACATGATATTTATTAATATGCGAGCATAATCCATGTTATTTAAGAAAAGATACGTATTCTTTTTTTAAAAGGTTATTTTACATATAAATTATCAATATATTACTATTACTCATACATTATATTTAACACATATTATGAAAAGAACAGTAAGAAAATAGTTCACTCAATGTCCATTAAAATTCATTTTCTTTGTTCTTTGTTCTTTTTTTTTTAAATTCGGAAAACAGAAATGCATTGCTCTTTTCAATATTTTGATATATTTAAATTTTGTTTATTTTGTATTAGAACAAACTGAACTAAAAATTTGGTATATATATTTACTTATTTTCAGTTTATGTATGAACAATAAAGAATGATTTATTATATCTAAGGATTTCTTAAAAATTAGGTTCGATTTACACTAACAACTCCAAACACAAACCAGTAGCTTTAGGACCAATAGTTTTAGAGGTTATGCTTTAGAAATATATATTTTTTTCTTTCTTGGCGATTATAAATCTTAAAAGTTGAATATAATCCATTTTGACAAAAAATCGAATATAATCCATTTCTCTTAATATTTTAATCCACAATAACTTATTATCTTATATGAGTCGCTTAAATTTTACAAAATAAGTTAAAACACATTTATCTTATCGTATAAATTATAACATTGGAAAAATCTCTCAAATACACTAAGATAATTAACTCGAACCAATATTAGAGACTTTATTCCCACGATCTGAAATGACCTTGGTTTGAATTCAGTGACGATGTTTTTTTATCTGCATAAATATAGAAAATCTGAAAAGATTAATTCCTTTAAAACCGAAATTAAAAGATACCGAATTTTCAAATTCAATCTGTTCCAATCAGTCTGGTCTAATTAACCATTACTAAGAAGAAAATACTGTTTGGATTAACTTTTGACAAGCAAACCGCCGCTAAATTGAGTAAACGAATGCTTAGATAGATAGATGTTAATAGTATTAGTACATCTGACTTTTCAAAAAAAAAAAAATCTTTAATTTGGTGAGCTAATAAAAAAGAAACAGGACAAAATGAAATATATATATAAAGAGGAGGCTAAAGTGTAGAGAAGAGTCCCCCAAATTTCAAGCAAAGACTTGTCGACATGAGTGACAGGCAAAAAAAGATACGGTAAGACTTGGATAAATGGCTATAAAAATGCATTATATAATTCATTTTATGTCGCCATTTAGTACTTTCAAGAGTTTTCTCGATCGCGATATTCTCTGTTGTTTTTTTATTCTAAAAAAGGAAAATATCTTTTAGGGGGAAAAAGAGAAATAGAGACATAAACACGTGGTTTTTCATTGCATTGAGAAATTATCATAAATGCACGATCAAGTCGTTCATAGAGTCACCATGGACTTTCTCAAACACATATCGACCATCTAATAATTATGGATATCTACATGAAAATAATTAAGACATTTATTTTCCAAGTTGAAATATTTCGTTGGCCCATTATATTTATATTTGGGAAAATTAATGGGAAGATTTGTGCACTTAATTCTGTTTGTTTGAACGGCAATGTAGTGTACAATTAAATGCATCATACTATATTAATAAAATAATTGACCATATATAGGTACTTACTATTATATATGGAATTTGTAATTAATACGATCACCTAATATTATTTATATTTTTAAAATCATCGGAATTAAATATTTTTTAACTAACGCTAAAGAAAAAAAATAAAATAAATACATCTCAACACATATTAAAGACAGATTAAACATAAATCTAATACCTTCTTCTCTTAAAACACACACATGTTGTTATTGTTGTGCATCAACCCTAAATATTATTTCATTATTTCTCCAACAGTATACGACTCCTTTAATAATTTGCTTCCATCTACAGAAGATTGGACAGCGACACATGAAATTTTATATCTATATATAGAGGGTAAGGGTTCTTCCTCTTACATATCAATATAAAGCAAAATATAAGAATCGTATAGAAAACAATCACTTCTCAACTTTCATTTCTTCTTTACAATAATAGCTTTTACATATGGCTTCTCAACCTCCCTTTAAGACAAATTTCTGCTCGATTTTCGGAAGCTCCTTTCCAAAACAAAGTAGTGATAGCAACACATACACATCAACTATCCAAACCGGAGGCTTAAAGCTTCCGGTGATCGATCTCAGCCATCTAACTAGTGGCGAGGAGATCAAAAGCAAAAGATGTGTGAAACAAATGGTTGCAGCTGCGAATGAGTGGGGATTTTTTCAAATTGTGAACCATGGAATTCCCAAAGACGTCTTTGTGATGATGTTTCTCGAAGAGAAGAAACTCTTTGACCTACCCTTTTCTGCGAAAGTCCGAGAACGATTCTCGGACTTATCGAAGATTAGTTACCGGTGGGGAAACCCTAACGCCACTTCTCCCGCTCAGTACTCCCTTTCGGAAGCGTTTCACATCACTCTTTCAGAGATTTCAAAGTTTTCTGATGATCGAAACAACTTGAGGTATTGTAATTATAAGATTTTTAGCTTTATTGATTGAATTCTGTCGCATGAAAACCCTAATTCTTGAATTCTCTTTGGTTCTTATATATGAAGATAATAGTTGACTCTTGCTTAGTAATTTCGTTTCAGGGTAAAGTTTTTTTAGCCAGTCACAACTACTCGTTTTTCCTTCAGTTTCAACAATCATTTCCAGATCTTTTTTATGAAATTTATTGGGAGTATATGGAAATTTTAATTTTTTGGAATGCAATTTTTTTATAATCAAGGTTTATAATTCTTGGAATGAAACTGTTATGGTCTTTGGAAGATCAAGCATGGTTCACTAGCGTGTAATCTAGTAATATTTATATATAGCAACACTTATAATTCTTCAGTACTTAAGGAAAACTTTGATATAGTTTATGTATAGAGATATATTGTAGTTATACATAAAAATATAAGATCATATATCATTATACTTAGTTACTTACATAGATGAGTAGAAGCGTTATATTATTAATTTATATTTTTCTTTTTACAGAACAACCGTTGAAACGTATGTGCAAGAGATAGCTCGAGTGGCACAAATGATATGTCAAGTACTGGGGAAACAAGTGAACGTGAACTCGGAGTATTTCGAAAACATTTGTGAGCTTAAAAACAGTTTTCTAAGGCTCAATAAGTACCATCCTCGTGTTTTTGGTTCTGAAGTGTTTGGTTTGGTTCCTCATACCGATACAAGTTTTCTCACTATACTCTCTCAAGATCAAATCGGAGGATTAGAACTGAAAAAGAATGGAGAATGGATCAGCGTAAAACCTTCCTCGGAAGCCCTTACAGTCAATATTGGGGATATGTTTCAGGTAACTTCTACCATTTGATTTTCAACATTCGAGTCATTTAAGTTTAACTATTGCCCTGTCTCACTTTGCAACCGCAAACTATGTAATTTCTAAGATTCTAAAGCTTTTATGACTAAAATGCAATCCAATGACTTAGAATAAAGCACATCCTAAAACTTCAATATAAGTTTTTCTGGTATATTATTTCATATATACTTATATATATGGGTAAAATGTTACTAGATATAATGTTGATACAAAAATGATAAGAAACATATGCTTAATTAGGCGCCACTTAAAATTTCATGGGTTATCAATTGTTTCTGAATATAGTGATGAAGTAATTATATAGATCCTTTATTTTCTTGAATTGGTTTCACTATAACCTATATTGGTCATAAGTTCAGGGGAAACCCTAGAAAATTATCAAGGGCCAAGCTTTTGCATGAGCTTCTGGTCCCTAACACATATTAGATAAGATCTACTGATTTAAATTTTAATATATATTGTTAAGCATTCTATTAAATCTTTAACTGTGATCTTAGCTAGTTTTGAGAAGAGATGACAGTTGAAACCAACCTATCAAAAAGAAATCAATATTATAACTCAAATTAAGGCTAATGTCTTTGATAGACAAATATATAAATCGGATCTATATATTTTGTGCAAGTTAATTATGATCATATATGCTACAGGCATTGAGTAATGGAGTGTACCAGAGCGTAAGACATAGAGTGATTTCTCCGGCAAATATCGAGAGAATGTCGATAGCTTTCTTCGTATGTCCTTATCTCGAAACTGAGATCGAATGCTTCGGGTATCCAAAGAAGTATAGAAGATTTAGTTTCAGAGAGTACAAAGAGCAGAGTGAGCGTGATGTTAAAGAAACTGGTGATAAGGTAGGCTTGTCCAGGTTTCTCATTTGATCCATCTCTTTGACCTTTGACCTTTGACCTTTAGTGGAGATATTAAAACTAATGTTGTCATTTTATTTCGGCTATTCCTCAAACTCAATTTAACACCTATGTTTAAGGCAAGGGCTACTAATAATCGATGTAACGAAAAAATGTTTTATATTATTATATTTTCATATTTCTATTACACATTCTCTTTACTAATGATTTTGTTTTGTTTTGTTTTAAGTTATGTTAATTCGTAAGAGTACATGATCAATCATGAAAACTAATGAGAATAACAGTAAGTAAAATAACTTTTACGTAAGCCAAATGTAGGAATTTGGTAAATTATTGAAAAATATTGGTTTATGTACAACAAAAAAAAACATTTATTATCTATGACATAAATATATTGTCTTTTAGAACTCGCAAAACAGTGAAATGAATCATCACAAATTAGTTCAATCATTTTGTCATTTTGCAACTGAATGACAAAATAAAATAAAAATACCAATTCTATAAGTTGTGTGTGTGTGAATGTTTTGTTTTTTTTTACTTTAATAATGATTTAGTCCAATTTATTTTACAGCTTCTTTATTAATTTTATTTTTGGCGATTCTTTATAAAAATCAGAGCCTTGATTAAAAAATATCTTTACAATTTAGAACTAGAGATTTTAGTTCCCTGCTTTTGTAATTTAGTTCAGAATACACTACGAATCAAATTCTTTTGTATCAATATATATAACGATCCATTACTAATAAAATTCTAATAACCAGTTAGTACAATTGTTACAACGATCGATTTTTGAAACCAAAAAAAAAAAACTGGAGATGTAAATTCTTTAAATTTGGAGACATCTATTGATATTTTTAGTGCCAAAGAAAAAGATATCAATATGAGACTAATGAACAAAACTGGGCCTATGTAACACCATAAAGCGGAGTTTAAATTATACGGCCTTTTCACAAGGATCAGGGAGCTTATACGGGTACAACATAACCGGTCCGGTTATGTTTCCGAACCAGTTCTGATGATTTCGGTATTTAATTTAAACAAGCGCTTCGCCGAGAAAAACGAAAGATGGGAGTTTTTTTTTTTGTTTTTGCAGATCGTTCGTTATAGTGATTTTGGTCGATCATACAAAATTAGAATCCATGGACAAGTGCAGTGGTTTGGATTCATCAACCAGATGTTCCCAGAAGGTAACCTTTTGTTTTTTCTTCGAGGTTAAAGTGAAAACAGTAGCAGAACATGATCTTGATTATGGCTGGATTTGTTCATGATAAATTAAAATTGAAGTTATCAAAACAATAAATCAAATTCATGCAAGTGTATTGATTTGGTTGATGCGCTTAGAATGTGAAAGTTTATGGTGAATATTGCCATGAGGCTTTAGATATGTTTTAGCTTTAGAAAAGTTCTTTTGTTCGTTTCTTTGTGTTACACCTAACATAGCATGTAACATTTTGTTACTAGTCTATCTCTTTTGAATTTTCTTGTGGATCTGTATACCTTTATTCAAAAATTATATTGTATGGACTATGAAAAAGGATGAATTTGTTGCTTCTCTGTTGAAAGATCGATATATCTGAAACTGATTCTTGGTTTGGCGATCTTACTGATGCTACATGTGCTGCATAGCTTGATCTGTATTGTATGCCTACTCTCAAGATATCATTTCTCTTGTCAGGAACTCTCTCATACAAGAGAGAAAATCCAAAGCTGAACAAAACCGAAGCACTGGTGAAAGACATATGCCGTGACATTAAAAGGTTAGATTTTGCAAAAAAAGAACATAACAACGGCTGTCACTGCCCTTCACCGCCTTACAATGATCGGTAAGTAATCATATGTAACATGATGTTGCTGGTTTAGTATTTCAGATTACTCTTCCCATTTTTTGATGATATTCATAAGATTTGACTCTACAATATATATTTCAGGCTGTAAACGAATTATGTAATCATTTTAAAGCATACATAGATGTTCTAAAATCACAGAGCTCAGAGAAAAACTTAAGAATATAGAGCAAGTTTTAAAGTCCGATGTATTTTCTGATTTTTACATACTAAAATGAGTCTACAGAGATGGCCAAAAGAGGTCCATTGTATTATTGATGCTACTTCTCTTTTCTCAATTTGCTTATCTTCAACCTCTAAGAGGATTTGTGAAGAATTTAGTATTTTTTTATCATTAGTTATACATATGTCCCATCCCTGTTATGATACCATTACTATTTCGCTGGGTAATCTTATTTTTACAGTTGTGCTAAAAATGAGAATGTCTCTTATAACTTGTCTACAATTATTGGACAGGAAGAGCTGGATTGGAACAAAGAATTGGTAGAACGTTACGCGGGATCTCCTTAATCAGATGATAATACTACTGAAAGTAAAAAAGATATATTTAGATTGGAATAAGTCACTTCCAGTATACAGTATTATGTGTTACATAGATAATACATACAATTGCCAAGAAATTTATGGTCTGTTCTTCAATGTTTGATTTTTACCAATAACCATCCTCTTCAAGAACAAGCAGGAGCATCAAAGGTAGGCAACACGCCGTGGCGGACCGGCTCAAGGTTTGGAATATCTCCTGTGACCGTCGGTGCCAAAGGGTTACCGTTTAAGAGCATTATCTTGCTACGCAAGTCTCCATCTTTTGGACTCAAGTGATACTCTTCTCTGTTCAAATATCCATCCAAAGCTTTATTTCCGGCCCGAGAAACCTTGGTCTCGATTGTTTCCAAGAAAGATTTCCTCTTCATTATATCTGCTTGCAAAACAACCTTCACGCCATTGCAGACTCCGACTGTAAACTTCGTTTGTTTACTTAGATTAATCAGAAGAATCGTTATACCCGCCTGAGATGATAGATTCCACAGTTACAAACCAAAACTAGAGAATGATAGAGACAGAGAGGTAGAAATAAACATCCACTCTTCCTTTGGAGCAATGAACGTAAGCTCGTAGATACTCCGAGGCATTTGTCTGAACGCCAAGAACGCCTTTACCCATCAAACGATGCCAAAGAAGCGCGCTGGACGGATACAAAAAGAATCGTTTACTTGGTTTGAGATCAAGAAGTTTATATTTACCTATTTTAGGATCTATATTTTAGGAACTTGCCTGTAGTAGTAATCTGGATTGGGAACAAACGTCTCCTTTTCGAGGAGACCGTAGAAACCTCCTACCAAAGCTTGTCTGCAGTATACTTTGGTGTTATGCTTGGACGACATACCAAGCTGATCTAAATACCTACGGAAAAGAATTTGTTTTGTCAATTACAAAACAGAGGAAAGATGAAAAGTGGATTTTGATTCTGTCTTACCAGAAACAGTTAATGAATGTCTCGGAAACTAGTCGACCACCGCTAACAAACGCTCCACCAGCTTCTCCAGCCCAAGCAGCAGCCCAAGGTCCATGTTCTTGAATCGTTCGGTTCACATTCACAAATATTCCTGTAATTCCGCTCAAGTAATTTGGATCTAGTATCCTATTCACTAGCTTAGGATCATTCCCTGCAACACTCAATTCATTTCAACTATCATCATTGTTTAATAATGCTACATATATTGATTTTTTTTGCTTATACTACACCTGCACCAAGATTGTATATATGATGAGTCAGGACATCAAGAACACCGGGTCCAGTGAGCCGAAGAAGCTCTGAGTACCATTTTTCTTCATAGAATCCACCTGGAGCTACAACCAAAGGCTTGGACCGAGAATCCTTGTAAGCGTTCTTGATTACATCTTTCAATACAATCAAGTCTTTCCCGTAAAGCTCTACATTCACTCTAGCACCAGTACCGCTTCCGCTTAGCTCATTACCTATAGTCAAGAACAAGAAAGTAGGCAAGTTAACGTTATGATCCCACATCAGAAATGTGAAGTGCTCATTGGTTTTGAGTTGTAAGGAAGAAAAAAGATCTAATTCTATATACCAAACTCCCACGAGTCTATAGCATCGCCCTTTGAGACTGTGTAGTTCATGAAATCCTGAGTGTTAATATGATCCCAAGCACCTCCCCATGCATTTCCGCTGAGTTTAACTCTCTCGTACAGCGCATTCAAACCAAACGTTACTATAGCTCTGCGGGATTAATTAGTGTTAGATCATTGTTGATTATGCCGCATAGTGCCATACTAAGGATTCTTTATACTTAATTACCCGGTTGCGTTAAAGAAATGGTTAACTTCATCCCAACGTTTGATATATATACAAACATCCTTTAGAGAATCCGAACAAACCGTCGTCTGTCTTCTTGAATAGAGTGCAAGGAGTCTTCAAGTCTCCTACGTCGTAGATCACTTGATCTTGCAATGCAAGGAACCACCTATTCTAATCCTCAACGTCTTAAAAGCTAACAACAATTTAAATTTATCAGTAAGAAGTCTTTGAGAAATGAATATTGGTTTGTGGTAGAGGTCACAAACCTTGAATAGCTTTAGCAAGAAGAGGAGAAGATAAGTTCTCAAATCATTCAAAAGATTAAAGAAAAGGAGATATTTTTAGGAAAAAGTTGAAGTAATTAAGGGTCAAATTAAGCTCAAAGTTGTTTATATATACCAAATTGATGAGAGAAGCGTAACCCCAAGGACACTGATCATAGTTACATTTTTCAGGTGGCCACCAATCAAGCGTTGCGCAGACAAAGTTCTCATCGATCTCAGCGATTCTACGTGTGCACCGTCTATAACCTTGGTGGTTCGTTCCATGTTGCTACAAAAAGTAACAGGAAGTAGAAACAGACAACTCAAGAACACAACGTTGAAGCCCATTTTGGTTTGTTTGAGCCTCACGTTTCAATTGGTTGATCTGTAAGAGAGAAAAATAAAAAAGAAGAGTGAACTTTTAGAGAGAAAGAGTTACAACAAAAGATCAAGAAGATGGATAATATAATCCAGAAAAATACAGAAGAGGAATAGAACTCAAAACCTGCTTATCTGATCAAGCAAATGATTACAGAGGAAACCTGAACTTATTAAGAAAAATTCTTAAGAGGTTTACTTGGAAAAAAAAAAATATTGATAATTTGGAGGCTTGTTCAATGATATAAGCACTAAATGTTTTAGAAAATTATTTCAAATTTTGAGTTGAAAAGTAAACCATATTCTCAAAAGAAAAGTAAACCATTTGTTGTTATTAGTGTTTGAAATTTGTGTAAATGGATAATGTCATTTGTGATACTTTCGTGAATTTGCAATATAGAAATTAAATTATTTTGGTGTATTCCCACAATCACAATGATAACAATTAGCCTAATATTGGTGTCAGTCAGAGTCGCATGGATAAGAGCATTAGTTGACTTTTTGGCAGATTCTAATATCTTTTTTTTTTCCCCTCTTTTTTTAATATCTTTTTTTTTTCAAATCCAAATTCTTTGTTAACGAAGTGACAACAAAAGATTGTCAAAAAAAGAAAAAAAAAAAAACTGGAACTCAAACGGATGGAGCGCCGACTGGGTTAATCTTCCTGGAACGGACATAGCTCAGAAACTGGCCGGGAAGTTCGTCGAGAAGTGGCTGCACCACCGAAACTCCTCCATTAGTTTCTTTCATGTGGACAAACTGCACAATCTCCCGGGTAGCTTGTACATCAAGCAGCTGCATAAATATTTCAGATTTAGTAAGTTATTGAATGATAAATCAAATAAACCCAAAAAAGAAAAAAAAAAAAAAAAAACTTGTTACCTGTTGGATTTGTGTGAAGTCTCTGCTTCCCACGCCAACAATCACAACCGACAATGGTAAAGTTGAAGCTCTCACCAATGCATCTCGGGTACCCTCCATGTCTTTAAGAACTCCATCCTGCTCACACATCCAAACATTTTGACATTGCAGCTACAGAATCACTAGTAACAGATACTGAATTGGGGTAGAGTCATTTTTGTTCCCGAATTTTTTCAGTCTCTTACCGTGGTGATGAGCAGAACAAAGTACTTGGGACTGTTTCGTGAGAGTGACAGTCTTGCAAGATGAGCAGCCTTCTCGACCACGTGGCTGAACAGAGTTGGTCCCGCTAGAGTAACACTGCGAAGAGCACTAGCATAAGCTGCCATGATTCCTTTACTCCAACAACCTGAAAAGGAAAGGAGAATATGAAGCTATGTGACACTTAACAAGTAATTTCGAGTACAGACCACCACCATGCCCGTAATATATCAGTTCCAACTATAAGTAAGTTACCGTCTCGGTATGTGAGGCTCCATTCAAGTTAAAAGCATGGGACACGTAATCGTCTGATGTTTTTCCTCAGAAACCCCAGGCAGGAAACCGCTGTTCAGAATCATAAGACTGGCTCTCCTACTTTCCATAATAGCCTGGAAAAATCATGTGTTATAAAACCATAAGTTACTAGATAAATACCCACGCTACGCGTGGGTTTGTTTTAAAAGTTGTTAATAACAAATTATTTTGATTGTTTTTGTTGCTAATTGATCACCCGCTTTACGCCGCGAGTTTTTTCCGTATTTTTTTATTTTGATTTACTTGATGTTATTTTGATAAATATAATTTTTAATAATCTAATCATTTACTCATGCAATGAACAACTACTCTTAGTATTAAAATACATTTTCAACCAACATACTCAACAATGCATCACTCACACAATCCGTAAACAATCTTTGTCCTAAACCAATTTTATAGATGGTAATGTTGGGATTATAGAAGCTCAAAAATTTGATGACTTTACGTACTCTCCACCCTCAGTGTCATATATAGATAAGAAAATTAAGAGAAAAACTTACTCAAACCATTAGCTAATCCACTATACTATTATCCACTCATATTTTGAGTTAAGATTACAAAAATTAGCGAAAAAAATTTTGGAGTATATTAAACCAATAAAATAATTTCATTGAAAAAACATAAAATAACAAAATAAGTTAGTATTAGTAGAAATCAATATGTAAAATTAAATAATATATATAATTAAATAATAAATATATTATTAACTTGTGAAATAGATTTTCAAATCCATATGGCCCATCCCTCATGGGCTATTGTGTTTTTCCCATTTGACAATTCTAATTAAAAGATGATGTGTAAAAAATAAAAGCTGAATCATATTAATGAAATGTTTTGATTGGAAGATAGAAAGCTGATGTGTCAGCTCCAGAATAGTCTAAAATGCTGACGTGGCGGAATGATGGAGAGAGATAGCCTCCTTTCATATATATGATTGGTATTGAAGATATAGATGGCAAACACAAGTCTGACCCCACACAAAAGAATCAAAGGTGAGACAATGGTACCTGCTGATAAGAGTTTAAAACTCTGCCTGATGGATCGATGTGGTGCAAAGAACTAGGCCTTCGGGGAACGCCATTTGAAGCTGGAAAGACAAGACCATCAATCTTAAAACTCAAGGTTTCCAAGAAGAGAAATATATGTATATAAAAAGTAGAAGAAGGGTGAAGCACCAGTGAAGTCAACTGCAACCATGAAATTAAGTTCGAAGCCACTGGAAATGTAATCAAGAAAACTGTACTGGAATTTCTCCACAAAACAATCCACAATGAGCTGGCCTTTCAGAACCTGCAACATCCCAGTAAAATCTTTACGAAAACAACAGATGCAAATAAGTGTCTCAAGATTTCAGTAAAGTGGCAAGAGATGGAACCTTGTTGCCGCCGTGACTACGAGTTGGATAGACAAAGTTTGCAACTTCAATTCCGCGACAGATTTCTCTGTCATTCTGCGAGGTTCAGTACAATCAACAACAACAACAACAAACAAACAGAAAACAAAAGATATTGTAGAAAGGTTGAAGGTTGTTAAACATGTTACCCAATAAGCTCATGATTCCCACTGGTTTTGAAATCAAAGCACTCGATTACCAATGGGGTATCCTGCATACACAAAATAAACAATTTAACACAGTGATCACTTCAAATTAAGATATCATTGTAAGAGTTTCATTATATGTTTTGTTTAATATATATCTTACATTCTTTTTTTAATTTTATTTCTTCTTTGTTTTTATGTACTTCTTCCTTCCTTTTTTTTTTGTTTTTTATAATATTTTTTAATTTAAAATTACATATGTATATTATAATTTTGATGGCTATGATAAAATTATCTTATTGATGCAGATTAAAAAATATTGATTCCGACTATCGCACAATAAGAGAATCAAGCTAAAGAAACTATCTTCATTTTTTTTACTTTGAATGTTTGATTATTTCTTACATATTCATGTATATTTATTTTATTTTTAAAAGTATCCATTATTTTAACGAAATAATATTTTGTAATACAATTATCAAATAATATTTATTTTATTTTTAAAAGTATGCATTGTTAAGGAAGTTATTGATAATTTACTCTGGTCAAGCTATCCTGAAATCAGAATGATAGCCAAGAGTATTGAAATAAAATAGGGGTTCCAAGGTAGGCATTAGACAACATCAAACACGTAACATGATGTTGCTGGTTAGCCTGTTAGTGAATTTATTTTATTCTTTATATAGTAACCAAATGTATGCCATATTCACTGATCTTTCATTAAGAGCTAACTTCCAATTCTAAATATGGTTCAAAAAGGACAACATTTATATAAAATATGGTGTTTTATAAAACAAACTACCATAAATTTGTACAAAATTTACTCCCATTTATTCTTATGAGCCTCCAACTCAATTCTCGCCAATCTTTCTTTCAACATTCGAAGTCTATAGTTTTCTTCCGTGGGAACTTGTGGCAACCTATTCCCGTCAGTTCCATGTATATATATTGAACTAGATTAGATTTACCTTTCTCTTAAAAATTCGAATATTTCAATCTTGAACTAAAACTCAAGTAAATTAGAATTTGAAAATAGTAATTGTAATCCTTTTATTTATTTTTTAATTTATCAATTGTTTTAATATAACTTTTATACATGTCAAAATCTTATCGATAGACTTGACATGTGTCGCGATTGTATAAATTACTAACTTTGAAAACTATTATTTATATAATAAGATTTTCCCTAAAAATATTCGTATATTTCAATCTTGAACTAAAACGTAAGAAGATATCTGAATGATTTGGGTCTGGTTATGTTTCCGAACCGGTTCTGATGATTTCGGTATTTAAACAATCTGAATGTTTTTAGAACAAATGGAATAGACTAAACCCAAACATAAAGAGTAAAACATATTAACTGTTAAATCATATTTTTGTTGCTTGAAAAATGGCAAATCCATAAACTATTCAAAAATGGCAGACTCAACAAATATTATTTAAAAAAGGGCAAATTCATAATTGATTCAAAAAAATATGTACCCACTTTGGGGACCTAAAGCCACATAAGATTGCCATATGTTATCCCGAGTCATCTATCAATCAAGCTCCCATATTCACTGATCTTTCATTAAGAGCTAACTTCCAATTCTAAATATGGGTCAAAAGGACAACATTTGTATAAAATATGGTGTTTTATAAAACAAACTACCATAAATTTGTACAAAATTTGTTCTCATTTACTCTTATGAGCCTCCAACTCAATTCTCGCCAATCTTTCTTTCAACATTCGAAGTCTATAGTTTTCTTCCGTGGGAACTTGTGGCAACCTATTCCCGTCAGTTCCATGTATATTGAACTAGATTAGATTCACCTTCCTCTTAAAAATTCGAATATTTCAATCTTGAACTAAAACATAAGTAGATATCTGAATGTTTTGGGTCCGGTTATGTTTCCGAACCGGTTCTGATGATTTCGGTATTTAAACAATCTGAATGTTTTGGTTCCGTTGGTAGAAGAAAACGAAGATACAGTTTCCTCGGCAAGAAGGAGGGAGAAAACGAACGATCAGAGCTTTTTATCTCTGCGAGATTTTGTGGAAGATCAAACCTGGTTCTCTTCTCGAATCTTAGGGTTTTGCGAAAATTTTGAGTTTTTATAACAGAATCAAAATTAAAAGCTATGGATAAGTCGAGTGGTTTGGTTTTCATCAACCAGATATTCCCAGCAGGTAATTTTTTTCCTTTTTATTCGAGGTTAAGGTTACAGTAAAAGATAAATCAAAATTGAAGTTATCAATAAATCGAAATTATGTATTTTTTTGCAAATTTGAATTTGAAATGGGTTCTTTTCGAATACAGAAGCTTCTATATTTGGGGTTGAGCCTTTTATGCTAAAGATTCATAATGAGATTCGGCGAGTTGATGCTAACATTTTAGCTGCTATTCGTCAACAGGTTAGCTTTGCATGGTGAACATTGCCCTGAGGCTATATATGTGTTCGCTTTACAAAAGTTGTATGGAGACATTTTTCTGAGTATTCTAGCAATTGTTCTTGATTTGTTGATGTTATGCTGAAAGATTGATATATGTCTTTGAAACTGATTCATGGTTTGGCAATGATTACCCCAGGGTAACTCTGGAACTAGAGCTAAAGAAAATCTTATTGATGCTACATGTGCTGCTGAGGTTAGTCTCTCATAGGTTGATCTGTATTGTCAAGATGTCATTTTCTTCTTTTGTTTCTCTTATCAGTCTGTCATTTTATCATAGGAACTCTCTCATAAGATACAAGAGATCAAATCTAAAGCTGAGCTGACTAAAGCAATGCTTCACAACATATGCCGCGACATTAAAAGGTTAGATTTTGCAAAGAAGAACATAACCACAGCGGTCACTGCCCTTAGTCGTCTCACAATGTTAGGTAAGTTATCAATAATTTACTCTGGTCAAGCTATCCTGAAATCAGAATGATAGCCAAAAGTATTGAAATAAAATAGGGGTTCCAAGGTAGGCGTTAGGCAACATCAAACACGTAACATGATGTTGCTGGTTAGACTGTTTATGAATCTATTTTATTCTTTATATAGTAACCAAATGTATGCCATGAACTTAGTTAAAGTTGACCAAGTACACCATTCATATGCTCATTAATGACACTCGCTGCAATGTTGTGGCAGTCTTTGCGGTTGAACAGCTTCAGGTGATGACATCAAAAAGGCAATACAAGGAGGCAGCTACACAGGTGGAGGTATCTTTTCTTGATTCATTTTTTGGTTCAGTTTAAGTTGGTTGTAGTTCAACTTTTTTAGCTTTTGTGGTCACCATGAGAGCCCAATGCAATTCTTTGTCATTTTGAAAATCAATTCTAATGCTAGGTTATCTAGGTGGACTACCTAGCATATTACTCTTCCCATTTTTTGATGATATTGATAAGATTTGACTCTATAATATATTTCAGGCGATAAACGAACTATGTAATCATTTTGAAGCATACATGGATGTTCCTAAAATTATGGAGCTCAGAGAAAAACTTAAGAATATAAAACAAATTTTAAAGTCCCATGTATTTTCTGATTTTTCCAGGTACTGCCTTTCAATTATAAAACCAATTTTAAAGAAAATTTCTTTGTATCATAAATCGAAGTTTCATGCTTGTTCGCTACTCTCTTTTTGTTAGAATAGTGCTTGCATAATCATTTAGGCTATGCTTCTTTCTGGTAGTAAAATCACGGTTTTTATAAGATGTTTGTATAACTCTCATCTACTTGTTTCAAAACAAACTCTACTGTTGTGATCTCTCAGCTTAGGTACTGGGACAAAGACAGAGGAAATTTTTTTGCTAAAGAATTTATCTGATTCTTGCTTGGTTATTGATGCTCTGGAGCCATCTGTGAGGGAAGAGAGTTGATAAACAACTTTTGCAGCAGGGAGCTAACCTCATATATATGAACAAATTTATGTAGGAGCTGGTATGTTTGACTTAATGCCCTAAGTATAACTGGCACTGTAAGTGCGTTTTTATGTTTCTAAGTGGTTACTTATTGGCAGAATTGAAAATGTTGGATGAGATAGAGCGGATATACAATCGGTTAAATTGTCTAATCCGAACAAATCAAGAAAAGTGGAAGATTTTTCCTGCTTCATGGCATGTGCCTTTTAGACTATGCATCCAGTTGTGCAACAAAACAAGGTAGTGCCTCCTGTTTTTTATGAACATTATCTTGCCTCTGGTTAATTTTGTAGTTCATATTTTCCCCTATTTTTGTTGGAGTTCTTAAGGAATTTATGACTTGCCCCTATTATTCTGAATACCTTTCTTTTAGCTCGTATCCTTTTAACCGTCCCCTAAAATCTTGTTCATTTTGCTGTAAAAAATTGAGTTGCAGTATTAAATGTTAATCATCACCTAACAGTTTGTATAGGAGATTGTAGAAGTGATGATCTTATTACAATACAGAGTAGAGAATATATACACAATGAGATAGCTAGGGTATTACAATCAGAGTTAATGAGAAATATATGACTATACATAAATAGAACCTTGATTGATATAGTCCTGTTTTTCCATTTTTGTTTTCCAGAATGCAAGTAGAATCTATTCTGGTCAACCTGAAAGAGAAGCCAGATATAGAAAAAGTGCTTCTGGTCAGGCATTCTTTACCCTTACATGAAAATTTCATTATATTTATCAGATGGATTGTATTTTTATGAGAGCGTTGTTTTACTTCTCAAGGAAATTTCTGATGATTAGAAATACTTCTATCCTGTTTCTTTTTATCACAATAACGTGGTACTTCCCCTAGCAATTAGAAGTTTGATGTCATTGAATGGTCAGGAACTGAAAAGGACGCTAGAGTTTGAAATGGAACTTGGAATGAAATTTGGTGGTGGTGGGAGTTTCGGAGATGACACTAAGGAAATTGGTGGAGGGGGAAATAATAGTCAGAAAGTGGTAAATATTTTGGCATTGCTTCTTCTTTTTTCGGTTCTACTGATATTATGAAACTCAGTGACTTATTATCCACTTGAGCCATTGCTCACTAGTTACTTGTCCTAGCAGTTTAACTTCCGTGGAATGATCTCTTCTTGCTTCGAGTCTCATTTAACCATATATATTGAGAAGGAAGAGATGGAACTTATGCAACTCCTGGAGAAAGTTGTGAATGTAATTTACTATCTTTGCTTAACGGAAGCGTTTACGCCCAATGTATGTCAACTTTACTAATATTCTTTTCCTTTCTGTCAGGAGGAAACATGGGATATTGAGGAGGAAAGTCAAACTAATATTCTATCTAGCAGCATACAGGTGAGTACCTAGGCCAGCTTCTTGAAGTAGGGTAATATGATAGTCTTTATTTTGGCAGATATACATCCTCAATGAGTGGATTAACTGACTCACTACTTCCACCATGATAATTTGGCATGGGTGGTTGGATTATTTTTATAGATGCGTAAATGAGTGATTGCCATTTTCCTCTTTACTTAAAACATAGAACCCACAACTCTTCAGACTTCAGTAGCCACTGAATTGGATGATATTTTTTGAGATATTTGGGAAAATAGTACGTTTATGAAACATAATAGGGAAACTAGTACGGGTACTATTTACAATTGGGAAATACACCCAGTTTGTACCGTAGTAACTTTTGCCCTGACCCATATGCCATCTAAAATGTCTTCTATTTACCATCTACTGCCATTGAGGATATTTCCTGAGAAATATAAAAAAAAAAAAAGAAATTGTTCTCTCTCTTCTTCTCTTCGTCTTCACCGACGACTCCGTCGAAAATCTCTCCGTCGTCTCTTAGCTCATCCACCTTGTCTTCTCTTAGCTCATTGAATCTCTCCGTCGCCGTCGATTCGTCCCGCCGGTGAGTTTCTTCAATCTCTGCCTTTTTTTGTTTTCTTCAATTGATCCTATTTCTGAAAATTGAAATGGGTCTCGTTTTTATTTGATTGTCTGATAAACAGAAAATTAAAGTTGGCTTTTTTCTCTATCAAATCTGATATCTGATTTGGGTTTCTCTGTTATTCTAGCGATGAAGATTGTAATTGGAACTTTGTGATTTTTGCAATTTTGCTTTTGATTCTATTGAAAAAGTTGTGATTTTTGTTTTTTTCTTCTAATTTTGCAGATGCTCTTCGTACCAGTAAGAGAGAAATGGATGTGGCTACACGAGCCAGACTAATGAACATAAGGAGACTAATGAGGAATTAAAATATTCAAATACAGCAAAGTATAAAAGTGGTATGATGTTGTAAATAATCCACGTTAAGATAGAGGCCACTATTTCAAAGATTAAACAATTGTTTTAGTTCTCAGTCTCACCTTCTATAGTCAGATTCAAGGTTGCTAAATACAATAAACTCCAACAGAGTACAACCCAAGCGTTCATGCTCAGATAACTTCAAGTGATTGTTTAAACTAAATTGAGAATTTTTGAGATGGCTGTGGCTACACGAGGTATGTTTTATTGGTTCCAATCTCTTTCAAAATTTGAATTTTGATTTAAAAAGATTGTGTTTTGTTGAAGTAGTGATTGAATTTGTTGGCCTTTGGTTAAAGCCTTTGGTTTAAGCAGATTATGTTTTGATCTGTATCACTTCATTGCTACTTAGTAAAAAGATTGGGATTGATTTTCACTCCATTTTCACTCAATTGATTGTCTTCTTTCTTGCGTTGGCCTTAGTGTTTTGTCATATGGCAGATAAAGGATGATGCAAAAGAATGGTATTTATGGCGAGGACTTGACTTAGCAATACGTAGATAGCTACAAGGATATAGCTCAAAGAATGTCACTCTAAAGGCGGTTCACCAAATCCACATTTTATTGGTAATTTCTCATTCATTTTGCTCTCCAATTTAGAACAGATTGAGTTTTGAATCTCATTTGGTTTAAACTTTTTTAGTCGATTGGAATTAGGGTGTTTTAAGTTCTGCAATAACAAAAAAGAAAAAATTAAAACTCGTTTTGTATCCGAGGAATTGCTATAAGTATAAGGCCATAAAAAAAAAAAACAATTGCAGTAAGGCCAAAATTGCTAGAAGTGTTTGTTGAAGAAGCAAAAAGATGTCATGGTGTCTAATCGACAATGAGTTGGGGAGAAAGTAATGTTGACACCTAGGTTTATATTCGTAGTAATCTATATAAAATGTCTTGAAAATTAACTACATCGATCGACCATATTTCAAAGTTTATACATCTGTACAGTCATCTTCTGTACAGTGCTATATATCTGTACAATGCTCTATATCTGTACAGTCGTCTATCATCTGTACAGTGATTTATATCTGTACAGTGGTTTATAATTGTACAGATATTATTTTTGTAAAGTAGTCTCTAAAATATAAATTCCTTCTGTACAGATGCATCCTTTTGTATAAAATATACATACATTCTTCTGTACATACATCCTTCTGTACATACATTCTTCTGTACAGATGCATCCTTCTGTACATACATTCTTCTGTACAGATGCATCCTTCTGTACATACATTCTTCTGTACAGATGCATCCTTCTGTACAGATATCCTTCTGTACAGATATTTTTCTGTACAGTGGTGTATATCTGTACAGTGGTCTACATCTGTACAGTGGTCTGCAATATAAATTTAAAAATCATCAAACAAAATGCATATCAAATGATAGAGAAAAAAACATAGATTTTTATGTATATGATCTATTTTACAAAAATTAAATTTACGAACGAGCATTTTAATTATTAAACTTTGAAGGAATGTAATGTAATAAAGAAATAAAAAGAAATCTTTTTAAAAAGCCTGACCCATGTCTCTCTCTTTCTCACACTCACGTTTCTTTTCCTCAGAGACAAACAAAAGCCCTTTTTGGTCTTTTCTAAAACCCACTAATATTTCTATCTCACAATTCTATATCTCACAAACTGGTCCCACCGTACTACTTCTACAATTGTGAATAGTAACCGTACTACTTCTACAATTATGTTTTAGAAAAGTACTAGTTTCCAAACAAACCCTATTTTTTTTACTAGCTGCAAAAGTTCTATTAGATTGCGTACGTTGTGTGAAACCGAATATCATAGTCAAGATCTACTCCGCACATTATATTCTGTGTATAATGACTATCAATGTTCAGTAACAATCCAAATTTAGTTTGTAAAGTATTTTACTGTCCTTGTTTGCAGTTGTTTTTCACTATAAAAAAGAGCTTGAAACGTTGTAGTGCTCTCACCAAGAACCAGACTTTATACAATTTATTCAAGGTACATTTTTCATTTTTTAGACTGGTTCTGTGATTTCGAACAATGTCTTAATTTGTGTAAGATCCAGCTTTGTTTGTGGAGTATTAGATTTTTTATATTATTTCGATAAATATTGTTAGTGGAATCAGCTCTTGAATAATGTTTGACGATCACTTTAAATACTATAATTCACGGTCCCATAGAACAGTCAAGGCCTAAAGCTAAGCCTTGGCGAACTTTATAAATGATGGCCCTAATTTTGAAAATCTTTTGTGCAGCTGGCATTAACTCTTGGACCAAGGTTCTATGCTAATATTTTCAGATGCAAGCATATATCAGAAACTGGAGCTCAACAGGTTGGCCTATGTACTTTATGTTCCTCCATTTGCATGGATTTGATTACCCCTCTTTGTACTCAGCTAGTGACAGTACCTAGGCTGTCATTGTGATAATTCAGTTTACTTAGTTTAATTTGGTATAACATTGCGTCCTTCTCTCGATTCAAGTTACATTAATATGGTGGTTCTAGTTATTGTTGGCCATCAGATATCTTTCTTTTTAGATTTTCTTAACAGCGAGTAGTTAATTCATGGTTTGTAAAAAAAAAAAAAAACACTATAGCTGGTGTTGATTTCTCTCCCAAGTTTTGTTTCTGAGTTCTTTTTCAGATGCTATAGAGTCTGAACTATCCTGTCTTTTGGTTTCACAGATGTTGCTAGATGCGCACGATATGAAGATGATTCTTTTAAAAGTTCCATCTCTTGCCAGACAGGTTAGCTCATCTGTGTATCTTTGCCCCTGCTGGTGACTCTGTATTTAAGATTTAAGATTGTTTATTGTTGTTAAGCCTGAAGCATCAAGCATTACTAGTCAAAGTTATCGAGTATTTATTATACTATCTAAAACCAAAGCTGGTCATTTTTTTTTCTTTAAGTTTTGGTTTATCTCAATGATATAATTGCAGACTGCAACTGCTGGCTATGCCGAATTTGTGAACCATCAAATGAAAAGAGCTGAAGAAGTCCTAAAGGTATTCTCGCCTGAACACCATTGAGATTTTTTTTCTTTTATAGCTTCTCTCTGTTCTCATAAAACTATCATATAGGTCATAGCATCCCCAATCGTCTCAATGGTAGACACTTATCATGCACTGTTTCCAGAAGGAATACCAATGGAGTTTCAACGCATCTTAGAACTTAAGGTAATTTTGGCATTCTTAATCCAATTTAGAACTTAAAGATCACTCGTGAAACTTGTTCTATTGTTGCTATAGGGTCTTACGAAAGCTGAGCAGCAGAGTATACTTGATGATTTCAAAAATCATAGCCCAAGAAACACACAACTCTCGGGTTGCAGCGACAATGCCAGAAGAACCTGCACCGCCACTTGCAGTCGCTAATCCGGGTGCAGCTGTTGGGTTCATAGCAAACAGTGAGGAAGTGTTAACCAGAGCCGCTGAAGCTGCAACCACTAGCTTCATGAAGTTATATTCTGTTACTGAAACGGCCAAAGACCGTCCCTTCAGGAAACTCTTCAATGCATGAATTTGTAAATTTTACAGAGCATCCTATATTTTTTTTGAAAATTGAAGAATATGTGAATACTTGTGATTATTGAAAAACAATTATATTTATACCATTAGTATTAATATCTTATTTCTCTATACGGTCTATGGTAAGTTATGAGTGGAACAAGTTTCTTTCGATTTGATATTAGTTGAAGATTTTGATGTCATCGTTACAAGTGTTACATTAGATAGAGCAACAAATATAAACCAAGGAGGGGTCTACATGTTTGAGAATATAGTTAAGACAATGTTGCTTCATTATAATTTTATTTTTTTGGTAGCGACTGGGCAGTTCATACAAATTTTTTAAGACAAAGTTGCTTCACTAGCTAACAGAAATGTGAAAAGTGGCCAGTTCATACAAATTTATATAACAACTTAAAATGAGCAATTTAATGAAACTGTTAGTTGCTAACTTGCTATAATATTTTTAAGATAAAGTGGCAAGTTCATATATATATATATGAATATGAAGTTCTAAATTAAAAAAAGAGCATATCAATAAAGCTATTAATAGCTATTACTTTTAAAGTAAAATATCTTATAAGATATAACACAAGTAATAGCTGTTATATCTTATAAGATATTTTACTTTAAAAGTAATAGCTATTACTTAGCTAATAGAGATGTAAAAATTGGCAAAATCCCTATTAATTACAAATTTTAATTTTAGAAGAGCAAAGTTAAAACTTTTTCTTTCCTACAGTTTTTTGATTTAAATTCCTTATACAATAAGGTATGTATCATTTAACCAATAGAAATGAGTGGCAAAAGTACAAGAACTTTATAATTTGTTAAAAGAGCAAATAAATCAATGAAACTTTAAGATAAATCCTTCATAAGATAAAAAGCACAGTCACTCGACCAATAGAAATGTGAAAATTGTCAAGTTAATATAAAACTATAAAAGAAATGAATTTGGGATTATAGGAGTTTATAAAACTATATTAAATAAAAATCAACCATATATTTTTGGGAATATTTGGTTATAAAAACGTGGGATAATGATCTAATTGACTCAAGTTCTTTTCTTAAACAAATTGAAACCTAAAATATCGAGCGAGAGAAATTGGTGAATTGAAATGTTCAGTTAGATGAAAATGACAAGAGTACCCTTATATTGTTGAAACCAACGATTCATTGCAAGACGTACGTAGGAATTGAGGAAGTTGTAAAAGCGAAAGAAGAGGAGATGACAAAGTGACCAATCTTTTTTCTCTCTCTCTCGGCGACGACGGTGACGTCAAAACGCCGCCGGAGACAAAAAAACAATACCAAAAGAAACAACCGTTAATGTTAATGACGAGTTGACTCATGGGTTGTTGTCAATCGTCATTCTTGAAACCGTCGTCATTGCATGACAAGAAAATCACCTCCGACGATATTTCCGGCCGCCGTGGAAAAGGAGCCAAACGCGGTAATCGCCACCGTCATCCTAACGTTAATGAAGGCAGGGGATGGCTTTTTTCCGACGTGCCAGACTTCTCCGAGTTCTCGGCATCGGTTCTTCGTGACGCTACAAATAATTTCAACAAAAACGCTGTCGTTTCAGTTTGTTCTGATCAAGAACCAAACGTTGTTTATCAAGGCTGCATTAGGAGCGACAAAGATAAACGTCTTATCGCCGTTAAAAAATTCTCCAAAACAACATGGCCTGATCCTAAACAATTCGCTGTATGTGTTTGAAATTGCTCAAATCTCAAATTCTTGATTTGGAATGGTTATATATATATATATATATATATTAATTGCTCTCCTATGCAGGCAGAAGCTCGGGCTATCGGAAATTTGAGGCACGTAAGACTGGTGAATTTGATAGGTTATTGTTGTGATGGAGATGAAAGGTTGCTTGTATCGGAGTACATGCCTAATCAAAGCCTAACCAAACATCTATTTCATTGTATGATATCCCAAAACCTACCTTCTTGTGTTTACTTGGTCTACAAGTACTTGAGTTTTTTTTTGCCTTTCTTGCTTCGAATTACAGGGGAGAAACAAACCATGGAGTGGGCTATGCGATTGAGAGTTGCACTTTATGTAGCTGAAGCTTTAGAATATTGTAGACAGAGTGGACTCAAATTGTACCATGATCTCAATACTTGTCGGGTTCTCTTTGATGAGGTAATTCCATTGCACATATTTAATGGTTTTTACATAAAAAAAAATTCTTTGGTGTTGATGTTGTTGTTGTTGTCATGCAGAATGGAAGTCCTCGGCTTTCATGTTTTGGATGGATGAAAAATAGCAAAGATGGCAAAAACTTCAGCACAAATCTTGCTTATACACCGCCCGAATATCTTAGAAGTGGTAACGTCTTTGTTCTACACTCTTCTTACGAAACTGATATGATCTTATCAGTCAGTTTCTCACTAGTATTTTCATCTTCCCATTTGTTGTGAAAAATGATAAAGAAGAGAAATATAATAATTTAAGAGATTGCTTGTCCAACAAGCATCTCCGTAACTTGTATAGCGCTTAAAACGTTAATACATGAATGATGTGATAATGGTTCATTGTAAGACTTTTGTACCTTTTTGTGGCACATGATGTATATAAATATTGTAGGTACATTAATTCCAGAGAGTGTTGTCTTCAGCTTTGGGACGTTTCTTTTGGATCTTCTTAGTGGGAAACACATTCCTCCAAGTCATGTGAGTGACACAAATTCATCTAGTAACCTTGCAAATTGGTTTGGTTTCTATTTCCAAAATGACATGTCTTTTATTTCACTCTCTCTATTCAGGCGGTTGATACAATTCAAAAGCAAAACTTAATTGTCTTGATGGATTCACATTTAGAAGGAAACTATCCTGAGGAAGACGCAGCCATGGTGTTTGATTTGGCTTCCAAATGCCTTCACAAGAACCCTAATGAACGGCCAGAAATTAGAGATATTATCTCAGTTATCGCTACACTTCAACAAAAACTAGATGTTCCGTCCTATACTATGCTTGGCATTTCAAAACTTGAAAAGCTTGAAATGGAACACCCGAAATCTTTAATTTACGATGCATGTCACCAAATGGACCTTGAAGCTCTTCATCAGATTCTTGAAGCAATGGAGTACAAAGAAGATGAAGTTACTTGCGAGCTCTCTTTCCAGCAATGGGCTCAACAGATAAAAGATGTGTGCAACACAAGACAACAAGGCGATTCGGCTTTTCGGAACAAAAATTTCGAATCTGCTATCGAAAAATATACTCAGGCATGGCCAAAAAAACAATCGATACTCATTTAAAATTTTTTATCCAGTTTTTAATAATAATTTTTTTATTTTTCAGTTTATAGAAACAGGAATCATGATCTCTCCTACTGTTTATGCACGAAGAAGCATGTGCTATCTCTTCTGCGACCAACCAGATGCAGCACTTCGAGACGCGATGCAAGCACAATGTGTTTACGCCGACTGGCCAACTGCATTTTACCTTCAGGCTGTGGCTCTTTCAAAGCTGAATATGGTCGAAGATTCAGCTAACATGCTAAAAGAAGCCTTGATCTTGGAAGATAAGAGAGGCTCATAAAGTAGACACATTGCATTATACTACAAAGCATATTTGGATTAACTAAAAACAATGATCTGTGTATAGTGAATCGAGGATGTATATGAACACAAATATTCATTAGAAAATGTCTTGACCGATGATTTGAATTGGGGATAAAACAAAGTGCCATTAGTGTGTTATTTTACAGATCAGTAATAAAATTAAAATTTGACAATAAATTCAAAAATTCGACGAATTACATCTCTATTGATTTAAATACAATGTTATTATTTTCAATATGTTTCTCTGCCTACGTTACATATTAGTGAATTTAGTTGTTTCTGATTGAGCTTCATAAAAAACATGTTATGTACATGTACTAATAATTAGTAATAACACATATATCAAAATCATTTTTTTAATCTCGTGGGTTTAATAAGATAGATAGTTTGGTTAGCAAAACAAAAGAACTTGTTGCAGATATGTAACGTAGACTACGTAGTAGTAGTATATAAGGAACAGTGGCTGAATAATATGAGTAGTATATTCTAACATTGGTGTAGAAAGAAAATTCATTAATAAAAAAAGTGTAGCTGATTTAGTAATGACAGCCATTATTCTATACCAAAGACAGTATGATTAGTTCAAAACCGCCACTGAAATTGGTGTAATCGATGGGCTGAATTGAAATTGGGGTAAAAGTTACTTAAAATCTATATTCATTTTTTTTTCTCACAATTTATTTTCATTGGAATTTTTATTAAAAATGAATTTTCAGAAAAACGAACCTTCGTGACTCTTTCCTAAAGGCACCTCTAAATAGAAAGAACGTAACCTCTAAACTTTAAAGTGAGATTATTGCCTTAATTAACCATAGACTTAAGAGAGAAGTTGTAAGTTTGTGTAAGTGGCGTAGATGGAGAGTTAAGTACGCAACTCAACATTTTAACTTTCTTTCAGCTATATATAGAGGTGTTTAGAAGAGGTATTACATTCCAACACAGAGAAAAATCTTTCACAGTTTTATAATTTTATTATCTTTCTTTTCGTTTGAAATATTTGTGAAAAAATGGCTAATGTTGGAAACACTAGTTGGTCTACTCGTTTTGAAGAGCTGTGTCGTGAAATAACGCAGCTGAAGGATGAAATTCAGAACCTCGTGAGGGAAGACGTGCTTTTTAATCATCCAATTGGGGGTCGACCTGATTTTGGTGCCATTGAAAAGTCCAATAAGAAGCTAATTGATAAGATAATGCAGTTGAAAGAGCTTGAGAAGAGGAAAGAAGTTATGAAGAATACCCCTTAGTGATAGGTTACTCTTACTTTTCTAGTCAAGCTCCTCGTATAGATAAATAAATAATTGAGATGGTTCTATGTGTCTAAAAGCTTGTGAGGAGTGTTAGACAAGTTAATTAATTTAGTTTTCTTGAACTATTTAAGTCCAGTGAGACTTTCTTGTAAGTAAATAATTGGGAAACTCTGATGAGTTTTAATTATATTTGAATATGCATGGTTGGTTCAAATGTGTGCCTTTCTTTTCTTCTTCTTCTATATGACTCACATCCTCTAAAGAGTCTATTTTCTTGGGATCAAAACAGAGAAAGATTAGAAAATCATTCTCATTTTTTTTTACCAAAGTTGTGTTCTTCGGAAATTCCCATAAGAGAATGTCTCAGAAATCAGCTACATAGGAAACCCTTAAAAAAAGATATATTTACTCAAGTAATATATACATTATATATCATCAAAAATCTGTATAAGTTAAGTCTAGAGTTTAAAATCTTGTAATTATGTTTAATCCTACAATATAAATATTACATATTAAAGAGATTAAAATAGTCAGACCGACAATGAAATGGTCTTGACCAAGGCATTGAATTGGGGATAAAAAATAAACTAAAGACTGTTTTTCTTTCATTTCCTTATATGTCCATTGAAAATTACAAATTCTTTACAACAAATAAATGAACTTGTGGAGAAAATTCAAAAATAATTTTTGATCCGAGAAAGAAATACTCTTGGTAACACGTTTTCCTTCGTCATAATCACTACTTTCTGTTTTGTTTATCACCCCAAGTTACGTCTCCTAATAATCTGTGATAAAAATATTTTCAGATAGAGAATGTAACAAATTGTTTAGTATGTTAAATGTTAATGCTCACTAACAAAAGTAAAGTCTTGATAGAAGACCCATGGGCTTTATCGAATCATATCTACATGTGGATCTAACTAGGTGCGTCAATTAACTAATGCAGAAAAAAGTAAACATTTATATTTTATTATTTATTAATACAGTATATAAAAACTCAATAGGTAATGGGTGCTTAATTAATACATACCCTAAGTATATATATCATTGTTGTTGGGTGTTAAATTTTAGTGAATAGTAGCAAGATCAAAAACTTGACAACAGATCCAAACCTTAACGTATTATATCAATAATAATTGATCTAAATACCACATTTTGGTTTTGTTTTTAATCTGCTTCTCGGCCTGCTTTACATATAAATGACTTTAGTTATCAAAATTGTTGTAGCTTATTGAGCTCCATCGTCATTGATCAAACACAACCTCAAATGTTTATGCTCAAAGTCAGAGGTCGATCGGGTCTATTCTTTTTTTTTTTAATTTTTTTTTTGGCAAACAAACACTCAATCTTGTTAACCCAAGATGTAAAAGGTGATTTTGATACATATATATTAGTATAGATTTTTCTCTTAGCAGTCAGCTCACGTTTTTTGTATGTTCATTATGTATTAGTACACACTTTGTGTAGTAACAACAATTTTTACTGGAAATATTTTTGATGCCAACCCATGCCAGTTTTAATCTGAGTAGAATATTATAGAACATTGAAGTAAAAGCAAATCCACTAGTATTAAATTGACTGATTTAGTAATCATAACCATGATTACATGCCAAAGAGAGTACAATAGTTCAAACCGCCATTGAAATTGTCTTCAATCGATGAATTAAAATGGAGGTAAAGTTCAGTGTTATTTTTTCTTTTTTTTTTTGTTCAGAAGTTCACCTATATATAGTTATATACTAAATACCATGTGATATATCTCTTAAAATTTTGTGAATGATACTTCAGTAGCATGACAGTTTGATATGATATATATTCAAAAAAGAGAATGAATTTGCTTGGAAATTTTAGAAATGACATTGGGGGAGAAAATACAATATATAGAAAAAAAATGTTTGAAAAGAGCGTGTTAATTGTTCAAAAAGGTTAACAAAAATAAAGTCTTGATAAGGGATCCAGTATTGGATTTAAGTAAGTGTATGATTTCGATTATTTAGTGTATAAAAATGATTTTGATATATGTATTATTAGTATACATAACATGTTTTATTTTATTTTAGAAGTTAGACACACTTATGGTATGCATAATAGGCATTAGTATCACATTTTATGTAGTAAACGAACAGTGGCTGAATAATATGAGTAGTATATTCTAGAACATTGGTGTAAAAAGAAATTTCATTAATAAAGAAGAGTGGCTGATTTAGTATTCACATCAATTATTCTATATATTACCAAATAGAGTAAGATTAGTTCCGCCATTGAAATTGGTGTTTAATCGATGGGCTGAATTGAAATTTGGGGTAAAAGTTACTTTAAATCTATATTCATTTTTGGTTCTCACCGTTTATTTTCATTAGAAATTTTATTAAAAATGAACTTTAAAAAAAACGAACCTTCATGACTCTTTCCCGAAGGCACCTCTAAATAGAAAGAACGTAACCTCTAAACTTTAAAGTGAGATTATTGCCTTAATTAACCATAGACTTAAGAGAGAAGTTGTAAGTTTGTGTTAGTGGCGTAGATGGAGAGTTAAGTACGCAACTCAACATTTTCACTTTCTTTCAGCTATAAATAGAGATGTTTAGAAGAGGTATTACATTCCAACACATAGATAAACTCTTTCACAATATTGCAGTTTTATTATTTTATCATCCTTTTTTATTTGTTTGAAATCTTTGTGGCAAAAATGGCTAATGTTGGAAACACTAACCTGCGTGATCAATTTATAACACTATGTAGTGACCTGTACCATGCACAAAATCAGTTTCAGTACAAATGCGCGGAGTTAGTGAGAAATTATGAAGAGTCTCAACCGAAGAAGGTGCTGGAGGAAAAGAAAATGGATTTGGAAAAGCTCTACGAGAATCTAAAAGAAGTTATGAAGAAAATCGTTGCTTTCGCCGCAAAAATAGGTTAATTTTACTTTTCTAATGAAGATCTCTTGTACATAAATAATTGAAATGTTGCTATGCGTCTAAACTCTGATGACGAGTGATAGATAGGTTAATTATTTTACTTTTCTTGAACTATTTAAGTCCTGTGAGACTTTCTTGTAAGTAAATAATTGCTGTCTCGAAACTCTGATGAGTTATATATAAAATACATATATGCATTTGTTTCCATCTGTCTTTTTTCTCTTTTTCTTCTTTATGAGTCGAAGAGACTCACATTCTCTAAAGAGTGTCGTTCCATGGGATCGAAACAGAGAAAGATTTGAAAATCAGTCTCATTTCTTGATCATTGTCGAGTTCTTGGTAAAATCCCATTAGAGATTTGTCTCAACGAGAAGTGATATTTAGGAAACCCTAAAAAGGACGAGAATCCATTATGATGATGATCCCAATTGCCTTGCGTCCCAAGAGACGCCGAAGAAGAATAAGAGAAGCTAATATTAATTTATATTAAGTTCTTTATCAAGATCAAAAAGAAAATATTCCTCAAGTTATACATAATCATCTAATCCGGATAGATTTGTAATTCTTCTAGTTATGTTATTTCCTGAAAAATGTATTACAAGTTGAAAAAGATTAAGATAGTTCGACCGAGTGGTCTTGACCTATGACTAATTTTCTTTCATCTCCATTTATGTCTTCTATAAATTATAAAACTATTTATTAAAAGATAACTTGCGGACAAATATATACTCTTGGCAACACGTTTTCTTTCTTCATGATTACTAAATTAGGTCCCAAAATAAACTAAAATCTTCTCTGTTCTATTCTATAAATATCTCCAAAAAGAAAAAGAAAAAAAGGTAAGATAGACTGTTTTTGCTTGTTACATGTTTATGCTCACTAACAAATAAAAAGTCTTGATAAAGAACCCATGAACTTAGCGAATCATATCTACATTTGGATCTAATTAGGTGCATCAATTAATATGATGTATGTATAGTACATCTTTTTTTTATCTTAGTGGGTTAGCACACATTTTCTGTATGTATATCCTATGAGACATTAGGACACATTTTAACATTAGTTACACAAAACATATTTGTTGCCAACCAAACTAAAGTGATTTAGGTAGAATTAAAACATTGGTGTCAAAAAACATTTGTTATAAAAAAAAGAATGGCTGATATATATTTGTCACAACCATTTTACATATCAAAGAGGGTAAAAATGCAAAACGCCATTGAAATATTCTTTTACAAGTTTAGTATTGTAGCTATTTATTTTTTATTTAAATAAGTTACACTTATATATCAAAGCTAATGTAATTGCTTGGTATTTGAATCTGTTTCTCTGCCTACGTTACATATTAGTGGATTTAGTTGTCACTTTGTTGTCGCTTATGAACTTCATCGTCATTATTGCATCTTGTGTTTTTTTTTTTTGTTTTGGTTAACAAATTAAAAGCATTTATCTTGTTAAACACACGGGTAAAAAGAAAAGCCATTAATAAAATAAATAGAAAATGACTAAAATAAATATAATTTATAACTATATAAAGTATAAAAAAACAAAAATTTATGTTATTATGATAAAATATAAAAAAATATATATATAATTAATAATAAAAACCATATATAAAATTTTACATAATAATTCAAAAAACAAATTCATTGTTAAATGCTTATTAATTCATGCATTTGGTTCATAAAAAAAAACGGCATCATGTAATATGACAAATTACAAAAAATAATATGACAAACTAAAGAAATAAAATGTTTTGAATTCTTAGATCTTCATGATTAATCATATTATTACAATACTTACGTTTGTATCTTGTCATTCTTTAATTTGGATTGACGCCATGATTTTGAATTGCAAAAAAAAAAAAAGGATTTTTGAGAACTAACGTTAAAATATATAGGGGTTTGATAATATTTTTTTAATTTATTCGCTACTGGAAACTTTTTAAATTCAGCGATTTCGAACAGTCTAGAGCGGTTTAAAGCGTTTTGTATGATTGGTTTTAAACGTTAGCAACCACAACACATCGTTTGTTGAGTTTTGGTTCTTATTAATAAATAAAAATGTTGGATTTACCCAATAGAATCTTGCTCTTGTTTAAATATTATATCTGTGCATTTTGTGATTCTGGTTTTTTCCTACAATTTTATTACAAATTGAAAAAGATTAAGATAGTTCAACCGAGTTTGAAATGGTCTTGACCTATGACTCGCTATTTTTTTTTTCATCGCCATTTATGTCTTCTATAAATTTTAACATTATTTATGTTTTCTTTCGTTATGATTACTAAATTAGGTCCATTTAGGGGACTAATGAAATCCAAATTACCTTCACCACATAAATCTAAAGACACCAACCTACTTATAGAAAATAATGTAACAGACTCGTTATCTAGTAAGCAGTGACTAATACACACTCTAAAGTTGAGATTTTATTATATAGATTTTTGAGAGAGAAATTTTAAGTTTATTCGCATTTTGCTATTACTGATCGAGACTTAAGAACGAGACGAACTTTTTACGAATTATATCTGTAATGATTTAAATTCAATGTGATAATTTTCAACTGTTTCTCTGCTTATGTTACATATTAGTGAATTTAGTTGTTGCATTATTGCATTGTGTTTTTTTTTTTTTGTTAACAAAACTATCTAGCTTGTTAAACCCGTGAGGTAAAATATGATTTTGATATATGAATTATAATTAGTACATGTTTTTTATTATAGAAGTAACTAGCACATATTTTTCTGTACGTATAATAGACATTAGTACACATTTTATGTAGTGACGAAACAGGGGCTGAATAATATGAGTACCATACTCCAGAACATTGATGTAAGAATAAAATTCATTAATAAAAAAGAGTGGCTGATTTCGTAATCACATCCATTTATTCTATACCAAATAGAGTAAGATTAGTTCAAAACCGCTATTGAAATTGGTGTCTAATCGATGGGCTGAATTGAAATTAGGGTAAGAGTTACTTAAAATCTATATTCATTTTTTTTTCTCACCGTTTATTTTCATTGGAATTTTTATTAAAAATGAACTTTTAAAAAAAGGAACCTTCATGACTCATTCCCAAAGGCACCTCTAAACTCTAAAGTGAGATTATTGCCTTAATTAACCATAGACTTAAGAGAGAAGTTGTAAGTTTGTGTTAGTGGCGTAGATGGAGAGTTAAGTACGCAACTCAACATTTTCACTTTCTTTCAGCTATAAATAGAGATGTTTAGAAGAGGTATTACATTCCAACACATAGATAAACTCTTTCACAGTTTTATAATTTTATTATCTTTCTTTTCGTTTGAAATCTTTGTGGAAAAAAATGGCTAATGTTGGAAACACTAGTGGGTCTACTCGTTATGAAGAGCTTGGTCGTGAATTGAAGCAGCTGAATGATGAAATTAAGAAGCTCGACGTGGTTGATTTTCGTGCCATTGAAGAATTAAATAAGAAGATAACTGATGTGGCAACGAAGTTGAAAGAGTTCTATGAGAAGAGGAAAGAAACTGTGAAGGAGATGAAGGAAACCCCACAGTGATAGGTTACTTTTACTTTTCCAGTGAAGCTCTCTCTTATAGATAAATAAATAATTGAAATGTTGTTATATATGCGTCTAAACTCTGATTAGGAGTGATAGACAAGTTAATTATTTTACTTTTCTTGAACAATTTAAGTCCACTGAGACTTTCTTGTAAGTAAATAATTGGGAAACTCTTATGAGTTATATATAAATAGACATGGTTGTTTCAATGTGTGCCTTTATTTTCTTCTTCTTCTATATGATTCACAACCTCTAAAGAGGATATTTTCTTGGGATCAAAACAGATAAATATATTTTTTTTTCTTTTGAATTTCATGTTCTACCGTATTTCTCATAAGAGAATGTCTGTGCAGAAATCAGCTATAGGAAACCCTAAAAAAAAACTATTTACTCAAGTTTATTCATTATCATCAAAAATCTGTAAAAGTTAAGTCTAGAGTCTTAAATCTTGTAGCTATATATTACAGATTAAAAGATTATAATGGGGTAACCGACAATGAAATGGTCTTGACCGATGCATTGAATTGGGGATAAAGAAAAACTAAGACTGTTTTTCTTTCATTTCCTTATATGTCCATTGAAAATTTCAAATTCTTTACTAAAAGTAAATGAACTTGTGGTGAAAATTCAAAAATTCTTTTTTGAATCGAGAAATAAATACTCTTGGTAACACGTTTTCCTTCGTCACAATTAGTTTCTGTTTTGTTTATTACCCCCAAATTACGTCACCTAATGAACTCATATTATCAATAATCATTTATATAAATATTTTTCAGATAGAAAATGTAACAAACTTTTTTTTTGTGTTAAATGTTAATCCTCAATAACAAAAATAAAATCTTGATAAATGACCAACTTAGCGAATCATATCTACATAAATACTAGAGGAAAAAAAGTAATATTTTTATGTTTTTTATTATTATTAATATCAGTATAAACACTCTATATAGGTAATGTTGGGTGCTGAATACCCATGGTATGAATAGCATTGTTGCAGGGTGTTAAATTTTAGTGATTAGTAGGAAAATAAAAATCTTGACAATAGATCCAAACCTTTACGCATTATATCAATAATAATTGATCTAAATGCTATGTTTTTATTTTGTTTATAATCTGTTTCTCAGCCTGCATTACATATATTGAATTTAGTTGTCATATTGTTGTTGCTTTTTGATCTTAATAGTCATTGACCAAACACAACCTCAAATGTATATGCTCAAAGGCATTGGTGTAAAAGTAAATCCACTATTAATAAAGACCGGCTGATTTAGTAATCATAACATTATTACATGCCAAAGAGAGTAAGATAGTTCAAACCACCATTGAAATTGTCTTTAATCGATGAAATGAAATGGAGGTAAAGTTTTAAATAAAAAGATTAAGATAGTTCAACTGAGTTTGAAATAGTCTTGACCTATGACTATTTTTTCTTTCATCTCTATTTATGTCTTTTATTAATTTTAAAATTATTTATTAAAAGAAAACTGGCGGAGAAATAAATACTCTTGGCAACAAGTTTTCTTTTGTCATGATTACTAAATTAGGTCCCAAAATGAACTAATTTAGGGCACTAATGAAACCCAAATTAACTCACAACTCAAGTCTAAAGATACCTACCTACATATAGGAAATAATGTAACAAACTCGTCATCTATTGAGTGGTGACTAATACACATAAATCAATGTTGTAGTGATTGAGTGGAGAAATATATGTTGAGTTTATTCACATTTGATAATTACTGTTGTAGTGATCGAGACTTGAAAGAACAAAGACGTACAGATTTCATTTAATTTTACATCAAGTTTGGATAAAAAAATGAATCAACCAGAAAAGATGTTAGGAAATTACAGATACAAAGAAAATGATTAGACTTTTAACACACAATATGTTAAATGAAATCAATTGGTCCTAATGAAATCATTATACGGAAGGAGACCATTAGCAAATATCTCTTGTATAAAATGGAATTGGGAAAGATAATAGTATTGGGAAAATAATTGTTTAGCGTGTCATATGTTCTGATCGGAAATAAAAATAAAGTCTTGATAACAACAGACCCATGATCCTTAGCATTCCATACCATACCTATATACGTAAGTAGAGCAAATTAAGTAAGTAACACTCATACGATATTATTAATAATCTCTCTTTTCTTAGAAAATTGATTTTCTAAAGATTTTACATATATTAAGACATAATTATTGTTTAATTATTGATAATTTTTTATTTTATAAAATATTTTTCTAATAAAATATGAACCAATAGTAATCTGAAATAATTAATTATTTTTAATCATTACCTCTTCAAATCTATTATATTTCAATGTCAATTAATAATAAATAAAAAAAAACAATTTTTGTAGAACATACATAAAAAACTAGAACACTCAATCTTCTAGGAACAGAGGGAGTATACAGCAACACCCTTAGGGTGTTAAATTTTGCTGTTTAGTAACAAAATCAAATATGACAAGAAATTCAAAATTTTTACGAATTATATCTCTATTGATTTAAATACCATGTGATTATTTTCAATCTGTTTCTCTGCTTACGTTACATATTAATGATTTTAGTTGTTGCTTATTGAGCTGCATTGTCATTATTGCATCTTGTTTTGTTTTAACCAAACTATCTATCTTACTGAAAAAACCACGGGATAAGAAAATGATTTTGATATACGTATTATTAGTACATAGATTTGTTTTTTAGTACCACATTTTATGTAGTAAAGTAGTAAACGAACAGTGGCTGAATAATATGAGTAGTATATTCTAGATTCTAGAACATCGGTGTAAAAAGAAAATTCATTAATTAAAAATGAGTGGCTGATTTAGTAATCACATCCATTTATTCTATACCAAATAGAGTAAGATTAGTTCAAACCCGCCATTGAAATTGGGGTAAAAGTTACTTAAAATCTTTTTTTTTTTCTCACCGTTTATTTTCATTGGAATTTTTTTATCAAGAATGAATTTTCAGAAAAACGAACCTTCATGACTCTTTCCTAAAGGCACCTCTAAATAGAAAGAACGTAACCTCTAAACTCTAAAGTGAGATTATTGCCTTAATTAACCATAGACTTAAGAGAGAAGTTGTAAGCTTGTGTTAGTGGAGTAGATAGAGAGTTAAGTACGCAACTCAACATTTTCACCTTTTTCAGCTATAAATAGAGATGTTTAGAAGAGGTTTTACATTCCAACACACAGAAAAACTCTTTCACAGTTTTATAATTATATTATCTTTCTTTTCGTTTGAAATCTTTGTGAAAAATGGCTAATGTTGGAAACACTAGTGGGTCTACTCGTTTTGAAGAGGTGTGTCGTGAAATGACGCAGCTAAATGATGAAATTCAGAAGCTCAACGTGGATGATTTTGGTGCCAATGAAGAAGCAAGGAAGAAGATAACTGATATGACAACGAAGTTGAAAGAGCTCTATGAGAAGATGAAAGAAACTGTGAAGGAGATGAAGGAAACCCCACAGTGATAGGTTACTTTTACTTTTCCAGTGAAGCTCTCTCTTATAGATAAATAAATAATTGAGATGTTGCTATGCGTCTTAACCCTGATGAGGAGTGATAGACAAGTTAATTATATTTTACTTTTCTTTAACTGTTTAAGTCCAATGAGAGACTTTCTTGTAAGTAAATAATTTCTGTCTCTAAACTCTGATGAGTTATATATAAAATACATATGCATTTGTTCCCATCTGTCCTTTTTCTCTTTTTCTTCTTTATGAGTCGAAGAGACTCACATTCTCTAAAGAGTGTCGTTCCATGGGATCGAAACAGAGAAAGATTTGAAAATCAGTCTCATTTCTTGATCATTGTCTAGTTCTTGGTAAAATCCCATTAGAGATTTGTCTCAACGAGAAGTGATATTTAGGAAACCCTAAAAAGAATGAGAATCCATTATGATGATGATCCCATCGCCTTGCGTCCCAAGAGACGCCAAAGAAGAATAAGAGAAGCTAATATTAATTTATATTAAGTTCTTTATTAAGATCAAAAAGAAAATATTCCTCAAGTTATACATAATCATCTAATCCGGATAGATTTGTAATTCTTCTAGTTATGTTATTTCCTGAAAAATGTATACAAGTTGAAAAAGATTAAGAAGTTCAACCGAGTTTGATAGGGTCTTGACCTATGACTAATTTTCTTTAATCTCCATTTATGTCTTCTATAAATTATAAAACTAATTATTAAAAGATAACTTGCGGAGAAATATATACTCTTGGCAACACGTTTTCTTTCTTCATGATTACTAAATTAGGTCCCAAAATAAACTAAAATCTTCTCTGTTCTATTCTATAAATAATTCCAAAAAGAAAAAGAAAAAAAGGTAAGATAGACTGTTTTTGCTGGTTACATGTTTATGCTCACTAAAAAATAAAACCTCTTGATAAAGAACTCATGAACTTAGCGAATCATATCTACATTTGGATCTAATTAGGTGCAATTAATATGATGTATGTATAGTACATTTTTTTTTATCTTAGTGGGTTAGCACACATTTTATGTATGTATATCCTATGAGACATTAGGACACATTTTAACATTAGTTACACAAAACATATTTGTTGCCAACCAAACTAAAGTGATTTAGGTAGAATTAAAAAATTGGTGTTAAAAAACATTTGTTATAAAAAAAGAATGGCTGATATATATTTGTCACAACCATTTTACATACCAAAGAGGGTAAAAATGCAAAACGCCATTGAAATATTCTTTTACAAGTTTAGTATTGTAGCTATTTATTTTTTATTTAAATAAGTTACACTTATATATCAAAGATAATGTAGTTGCTTGGTATTTGAATCTGATTCTCTGTCTACGTTACATATTAGTGGATTTAGTTGTCACTTTGTTGTCGCTTATGAACTTCATCGTCATTATTGCATCTTGTGTTCTTTTTTTTTTGGTTAACAAATTAAAAGTATTTATCTTGTTAAACACACGGGTAAAAAAAAAGCCATTAATAAAAATTAAAAAGAGAGGCTGATTTAGTTATCACATCTATTATACCAAAAGAGTACGATTAATTCGTAAACTTGAGGTGAAGTGAGTGGTGCAATGACCCGTGTGGACAAATCAAATCATGGACCTAAAGATTGAAGTAGTGCTACTTCATTACCCAGCTGCTTATCCAGTAAATGGACGTCCAGCCGATGAAATTGCTCCTGCAGCGGCCATTGCGAACCTTGAGAATGAGAAAAGAACGTTGGAAAGGCTCTCCTCGGAGATGGAAAACTCGATAGTACAAATGGCTGCTTACATATTAAAAGAATATAGTGAATTTAGTTGTTGCATTATTGCATTGTGTTTTTTTTGTTAACAAAACTATCTAGCTTGTTAAACCCGTGAGGTAAAATATGATTTTGATATATGAATTATAATTAGTACATGTTTTTTATTATAGAAGTAACTAGCACACATTTTTCTATACGTATAATAGACATTAGTACACATTTTATGTAGTGACGAAACAGGGGCTGAATAATATGAGTACTATACTCGAGAACATTTGTGTATAGAATAAAATTCATTAATAAAAAAGAGTGGCTGATGATTTCGTAATCACATCCATTTATTCTATACCAAATAGAGTAAGATTAGTTCAAAACCGCTATTGAAATTGGTGTCTAATCGATGGGCTGAATTGAAATTAGGGTAAAAGTTACTTAAAATCTATATTCATTTTTTTCTCAGCGTTTATTTTCATTGGAATTTTTATTAAAAATGAATTTTCAGAAAAACGAACCTTCATGACTCTTTCCTAAAGGCACCTCTAAATAGAAAGAACGTAACCTCTAAACTCTAAAGTGAGATTATTGCCTTAATTAAACATAGACTTGTGAGAGAAGTTGTAAGTTTGTGTTAGTGGAGTAGATGGAGAGTTAAGTACGCAACTCAACATTTTCACTTTTTTCAGCTATAAATAGAGATGTTTAGAAGAGGTTTTACATTCCAACACATAGAAAAAATCTTTCACAGTTTTATAATTTTATTATCTTTCTTTTCGTTTGAAATCTTTGTGGAAAAAAATGGCTAATGTTGGAAACACTAGTGAATGTGTATGTCTATCTACTCGTTATGAAGAGCTGTGTCGTGAAATGACGCAGCTGAATGATGAACTTAAGAAGCTCGACGTGTCTGATTGTGTTGCCATTCAAGAAGCAATTAAGAAGATAACTGATTTGAACACGAAGTTGAAAGAGTTCTATGAGAAGATGAAAGAAACTATGAAGGAAACCCCACAGTGATAGGTTACTTTTACTTTTCCAGTGAAGCTCTCTCTTATAGATAAATAAATAATTGAGATGTTGCTATGAGTCTAAACTCTGATGAGGAGTGATAGACAAGTTAAATATTTTACTTTTCTTGAACTATTTAAGTCCTGTGAGACTTTCTTGTAAGTAAATAATTGGAAAACTCAGATGAGTTATATATAAATATACATGGTTGTTTCAATGTGTGCCTTTATTTTCTTCTTCTTCTATATGTGTCACAACCTCTAAAGAGGATATTTTCTTGGGATCAAAACAGATAAATATTTTTTTTTCTTTTCAATTTCATGTTCTACCGTATTTCTCATAAGAGAATGTCTGTGTCAGAAATCAGCTATAGAAAACCCTAAAAAAAAAAACTATTTACTCAAGTTTATTCATTATCATCAAAAATCTGTAAAAGTTAAGTCTAGAGTCTTAAATCTTGTAGCTATATGTTAATCATACAATATATATTACAGATTAAAAGATTATAATAGGTTAACCGACAATGAAATGGTCTTGACCGATGCATTGAATTGGGGATAAAGAAAAACTAAGACTGTTTTTCTTTCATTTCCTTATATGTCCATTGAAAATTTCAAATTCTTTACTAAAATAAATGAACTTGTGGAGAAAATTCAAAAATTCTTTTTGATTCGAGAAAGAAATACTCTTGGTAACACGTTTTCCTTCGTCATAATTAGTTTCTGTTTTGTTTATTACTCTCAAATTAAGTCACCTAATGAACTCATATTATCAATAATCATTTATATAAATATTTTTCAGATAGAAAATATAACAAACTTTTTTTTGTGTGTGTTAAATGTTAATGCTCAATAACAAAAATAAAATCTTGATATAGACCACCTTAGCGAATCATTTCTACATAAATACTAGAGGAAAAAAAGTAATATTCTTATGTTTTTTTTATTATTAATATCAGTAAAAACACTCTATAGGTAATGTTGGGTATGAATAGCATTGTAGCAGGGTGTTAAATTTTAGTGATCTTGACAATGATCCAAACCTTTACGCATTATATCAATAATAATTATTATATCAATAATAATTGATCTAAATGCTATGTTTTTAATTTGTTTATAATCTGTTTCTCAGCCTGCATTACATATATTGAATTTAGTTGTCATATTGTTGTTGTTTTTTGATCTTAATAGTCATTGACCAAACACAACCTCAAATGTATATATATGCTCAAAGGCATTGGTGCATGTAAAAGTAAATCCACTATTAATAAAGACCGGCTGATTTAGTAATCATAACATTATTACATGCCAAAGAGAGTAAGATAGTTCAAACCAGCATTGATTGAAATTGTCTTTAATCGATGAAATGAAGTGGAGGTAAAGTTTTAAATAAAAAGATTAAGATAGTTCAACTGAGTTTGAAATAGTCTTGACCTATGACTATTTTTTCTTTCATCTCTATTTATGTCTTTTATTAATTTTAAAATTATTTATTAAAAGAAAACTTGCGGAGAAATAAATACTCTTGGCAACAAGTTTTCTTTTGTCATGATTACTAAATTAGGTCCCAAAATGAACTAAGTTAGGGCACTAATGAAACCCAAATTAACTTCACAACTCAATTCTAAAGATACCTACCTACATATAGAAAATAATGTAACAGACTCGTCATCTAGTGAGTGGTGACTAATACACACATCTAAAGTTTAGTTTATTATATTGATTTATATATGTTGAGTTTATTCGCATTTGATATTACCGTTGTAGCGATCGAGACTTAAGAGAACGAAGATGAACAGATTTCATCTAATTTTAAATGTTTAGACTTTTAACACACAAAATGTTAATGAAATCATTATACGGAAGGAGACCATTAGCAAAATATCTCTGTGTTGTATAAAATGGAATTGGGGAAGACAATAGTATTGGGAAAATAATTGTTTTAGCGTGTCATATGTTCTGATCGGAAATAAAAATAAAGTCATGATCCTTAGCATTCCATACCATACCTATATATGTAAGTAGAGCAAATTAAGTAAGTAACACTCATACAATATTATTAATATTTTTTCTGTTCCTAGAAGATTGATTGTCTTAAGATTTTACATATATTAAGACACAATTATTGTTTAATTATTGATAATTATTTATTTTATAAAATATTTTTTATATAAAATATGAACCAATAGTAATCTGAAATAGCTAATTATTTTAATTATTACGTCTTGAAATCTACTATTTATTAATATCAATTAATAATAATAAAAAGAACCTAAAAATTAATTTTTGTAGAAC